GTATAATCAACCATTACTTTTTTATTCTAAAATCCTCGTAATAAATACAATAAAATTTTTGTTTCATTTCTCTATATCAGTGGGTTAATTATTCTGCTTTGAGATATTGTTTGATCATCAATCATGTTTTTTCTGGTTTTGTCTATCAGACTCGTTTAGCCATTGAGCTATTTTTATCCAGTCTGTAATTTTCCTCGTAAAAAAAGACCTTTGGCAAAAATTGCACAAAGGCGCCATGAATCGTCTGGTAGGTAAAATCTGCGCGAATCGGGAACGAACGAGCTACAGGTTCACTACCTCGTAGAAATTTTTTCTTCTTAAAGTATCTAGGTATCTTACGAAGTATTAGAAAAATACGTTGTATAATTAAAAATGAACATTGTAACGTTGATCAAATTAAACTTCAAAATTCATATTAACTGGATATAGTGTGATATTCAAAATGAGTCAAGGCTTATTCTTTTCATGGCGATTTTTTATTAGTTTGGATTGGAAATTCCGATTTTCAATGTTGAATAAAGCATCGATTGGTATTCGCTGTTCTAATTTCAAAGCGATTTAAAATTGCAATGGATTCGCTTTTGTAAATAATTTCATAACGTTGTGCCTAGTCTTTGATTGATCGGTTGATGGCTTTTTAATATAAATGATATTAAATTATTCGGACAAGGGAGTTTACGGAGGAAACAGGCTATTTTAGTACTAGTGGAATTCATATTCCCAAATCGGTAGGGTCAATAAATAATATCGGGATGACTATTCAGCGCATTTTATATAGTAAAAATCCTACTTCCCGTGAGCCATATTGTTATTTTATTTAATGAAAAAAAAATTATACTCATAGTTCCACAGCTGCTAGATCTTCCAATTGATTAATAAAAGTGTTATTACAAGAAAGGACCGTAGTCTTTTGAAGGCCAATAACGTCGATGTAAACAAATTTATCGCTTATACTGGCTGAACCAATTGGTCCTAAGTGAATTTTTCTCTGTAGTCCACCTGTCCCTTTTCCACCATCTTGCGATAGAAAAACACCTTTTTGCTGACGTTTCGACCTTTATTCCGGTCATCTTCAAGATTAGCCATACTTTATTCCCTGAAGATGATCCGAATAAAGATCGAAACGTCGGCAAAAAATGAAAAAGGTGTTTTTCAAAACTACCTCATTCTTGTCCGCTCCTCACGAATCCAACAAATTATTAAACAACCGGTCTCAAAAAATAATGAGCTAAAAACGCTAAAAAAGCTAAAGCTAAACGCTAAAAACTGTGCCTAAAAGTCAACCAAAGCAATCTAAATATGACTATGAATATCCAATTTTCGCAAATTTTAATATTCATATGAGATCTCCCATCAGCAGATTTTATGAATATAATGTTTTCTTTACGGAATACACGTACCAACAAATATGACTGTTTTACAAATTACATTGGCTATAATATGTCTCTAATTCCAGGCTAATTGGGATCTTATTATCATTTAATTGTAAGTTCCCACGTAGTTGTCACCGCCAAAATCATATGCTAATGTGAGATCTTAATCAATAAGCAAAGTTTAATTAATATTTTTAAAACATTTAACGTATTTCACAGAGTCGTGAGTGCAACAGTAAGTTATTACAGTGGACATGGAGCATGCCTTGTGCCTCCCATTAGCTGGCCCCCATTAGGTTAATGGTACATGCAACGTTTATATATAATATGAAAATGATGATTAAAATGATAAAATATGAGATTAAATGGGGTTACAATTTATACTCAATTTAGTGAAAGGTACTGAGGCGGTCTTGAGATGCCTTTTACAGCATCCTTTGTAAAAAGGGAGAGAGGGAGAGAGAGAGAGAGAAAAAAAAGTAAGAGAAACAGTAGGAAAAAGATACAGCAATGAGAACAACAATAGAGTGAAGGAGAGAGTGTGTGTGTGTGAAAGAGAGAGAGGGAGAAATGGGAGAACGAGAGAAAGAAGGCACAGGAATGAGAAAAAACAATAGATTGAGAGTGAGAAAGGTAGACAGACAGATCTACATTTCTAAAAACATTATAATAAAAGTATACATTATTTAAAAATTAAAAAATTATATGTATACAATAAGGAAAATAACTTAAGTATGAGTGAGAAAATAAACTTTACTGATCCACAAAAAAAGTAGCCTGAAAATTATTTATTTTTTAATTGTACACTGTTTTGGCCATATTTCAAAAATGATTACTTCAAAAATGATTTAATATTTGTAATTAGATGTAGATGGAAAGTATTTGTTTTTGTCACCTATTGTGAGGCAAAATTGCTTAAATCCTAATTTGATTTAAAGTCTCCACAATATAAATCATCACCGAGGGCATCTAAAAATGCCTTTATTGTGTAGGTGGCTAAAACAAAACGATTACGAAAATGTTCATAATCAGCAAATAAGTTGCCCGTTCCATTGTACTAGTTGAGGATGGAAGAAAAAGAATTTTAGGTTTATTTAAAATGACGGATGTCAGGAATTCAGTGGTACCAGGAGACAGCAAGGTACATTCGGAGACCAGGAGGGACACCCAAGAGCCGGGGGGACAGGTGACGACCGATTTATCATATTTCACACTCTGAAAAATCGCTTTTCCACTGCTTCCGAAACGTCTCCAAGACTTCGAACTGTGCGAGTTTGTAAACGCTGAAACAGTAAAAAGGAGGCTTGCATAAATGAATCTACATTCTATAAGGAATGTACCTCTTAGAAGAAACCATCGTCAGGACCTCTTCGATTTGCAAGGGAAACCGAAATTGGACAGATTCTGTAAAAAAAATGCTGTTTTCAGACGAGTCCTAATTTTTCTCTCTCTGTTCACCAGACGGACGCCTTTGTTTATCGAGCTACTGTAGAGCTCCACAACCTGCCATATCGCCGGAAGAGGGTCGTTCAGAGATGGTTCAGTTGTTGTAGAATGGAATTTGTTTGGAGGTGAAAACGGAGTTTTTAATAGGCCGTCACTTAATGCAGAAATCTATGTGGCAGAAATTCTTGAGGAATATGCGGTGCCATTTGCTCCTGTTATTGACTAGAAATTTTTGTTTACGGAAGATAATGCAAGACCAACTGTCGCCACCAGTGTTACGAAGTACTTTCGAGATGTCAATATTTACACTAAGAAGGCCAACCTGTATCCCTGATTTGCACTCCATTGAGTACTTTTGGGACGAGCTCGGACTTGGGTAAAACGAAGAAATAACCCTAGCTAAGCTAAAATAACCTTAGCTGGGCTGAAAATTACACTAGTTGAGATTCAGGATGAAATTTCTCAAGAAGTTGTTAAAGGCTTAATTATGAGCAGACTGAGAAGATTACAGTGTGTAATAAGAGCCAGAGGAGATTACCTATTAAATATTTTTAAGTTTGTTTTATAATGTTTTATGTACATGCACAAAAGGGATTGTTTCTTTTTTTTATTAATTTTGTTGTTTTGTTTTTGTGTTTTAACCAAATCTGTTAATAAATACCTGAAATGTAAAAAAATATCAGCGTTAAAATTACTGAAAAGACAAGTATATTAAAAATTTCAAAGGGCGCCTTGTATTTATTTTTTTGTACTTTTTATTATTATTTTAAAGAAATAATAAAAATAAAAATACAACGATATAATTTAATCTAAGAGATCGACATAGAGATCGATGTAGTAAGAATTGATAGGCAATAAACTTTCAACGGGCACAATTGTTACAAATTTATTAATAATCGCAAGATGGTTCTATCAAATTATTTATAATTCCTTCTGGAACATCCGAAATTATTGTTTTAAGATATTTGACCCGTTTTAATTACTATCCGAAGATTCTTAAAGAAGGAAAATGAAAGCAGGTTGTTTTTTACATGTTTACAAATTATGAGTTACAAAAGGACAATAATTTTGTCCTATCTTTTTGATAGGTATACAGGGTTTTATATAATTATATAGATCTTGATTTCTCTCACAGAATTTCATAGTTTTTTGGCCGTAAAAGAAGCAAAAATGCAAAAACTTGATGTTTCTTTTAATTTTCATAATTTCATAATTTATTGGTTTAACCATGGTATTTTTATGATGACTCCATTACCGGAATTGATACCTGTCAAATACATTCAAATATAATGAATTTCTTGTCATCATTATTTTCAATTAAATTTTACCGTGATGGGCATTAAAATTGTTACAAATTTATTAATAATGGCAAAATACATTATGGTTCTATCAAATTATTTATAATTTCTTCTGGTACATCCGTAATTATTGTTTTAAGATATTTGAGCTGTTTTAATTATTATCCGAAGATACTTAAAAAAAGGAAAATGAAAGAGGGTTGTTTTTTAAATGTTTAAAAATTATGAGTTACAAAACAACAATATTTTTGTCAGGTATACAGGGTTTTATATAATTATTCAGAAATCGTGAGATGCGGTCTGGTGTGGTGTAGGTTTCAGAAAAACAATTTCTTTATCGTGCCAACGTTTCGATCTTTATTGAGATCATCTTCAGGGCTCAAAGTGTTTGTTTTCTGTGTAATTGTGCCATTCTTGCGAGTCGTGTTTTATATAATTATATAGATCTTGATTTCTCTCACAGAATTTCACAGTTTTTTTGGCCGTAAAAGAAACAAAAAAGCAAAAACTTGATGTTTCTTTTAATTTCCATAATTTCATAATATATTGGTTTAACCATGGTATTTTTTATGATGACTCCATTACCGGAATTGGTACCTGATTTCAAATATAATGAATTTCTTGTCATCATTACCTTCAATTACATTTTACCGTGATTCCGCGCATTCCCTGCTTTCTTCTGTCTTGTAATTTTGCTAGAAATAATTGAGGTGGGATGAGTATGTCGATTCACTTTTTGAAAAGGGTCGTTCTACTCATTCAGGTATGACCTCACAATATAGCTTTCCTGCTTCTGAAAATGGAAATGACGGAATTTACTTTTTATTACACCTCTTTTAATTGTTATTAACAGTTCACTAAAATGTGTATTTTTTATTTACAGGGGTGCTTTCTCCGTAGTTCGCCGCTGCGTGCAAAAGTGCACAGGCTGTGAGTTTGCGGCGAAAATAATTAACACGAAAAAACTTTCAGCGCGAGGTAAAAGTCCTAGTTCATTTTATATTTTTAACACGAACAATTTTCTTCTAGCATTAACCAACGTTAATATGTTATAAGCACATCTTGAAAAATAGAGAGCCAAATCTCTTGTAATAACTATGTCTAAAAGTAACCGGTCCTCTCGTGAGTTTCGTAATAATTCCTTCAGCTTGACGAATGAAACCGGTATTCCGAACCAAATTATACGTCGGTTAGTGTTTCTAAATTAGCGTGAACCTTTGTACGGACGCTGGATTTGCATATGTTCATTATGCTGTCGTATAGTTTTTATGTTTTTGTTTTTTATGTCGTTTATAGCCTATACCTTGCTTTCTGATAGTCTGCCTGTTCCTAAGGCAGATAAGTTGGACAAAATATGATGTTTAAATGACTAGCCCAAGCTTATGCAAGCAATCGTGCTTTAACTTATCAATTTTAAATCATTAATCTTCTAAAAGCCTCTGATTTCTTCACTCATCTAAAAAATTGTGCAAAATCCTCAAATTAATTTTATCAAATTGTGCTTATATTTTAGAAACCGAACAATATGAAAATCTATACTATATTTTTGACATCATACAAACCGACTCAAACCTCCCACACTTATTCAAAATGGCAGCACTGAAAAACATGACAGACAGACTCAAATCAATCCCACTGAAGACAAAGACGAAAAAGAATACCAACCGTAGCACACAATCAACAAAATAAACAAAACATCGCCACAAAAACCGATACTAAAAGGAATACAATAATACACATTAGGAAAGAAACGTAAAAAATTAACTTATTATACAAATTAGGCACAAAAGCATCACTGAAAATCACAAACACAATAGGAAAATTACTAAGAAAACATCGACAAGTCAGATCAATTAGAAAAAAAAACATACACACTAATATGTCAATGCAGAGACAAATACATCAGACAGAAGAAAAATAAAAGACAGATACAAAGAACATATCAAATCATTTAGGGACAATGATCGAATTACATAAAACACCTAATAGAAAACAACCACGAACCATCGACAATACAAGTATGAAACTTCTACACCACATACAAAAATGATAAAAAATGGACATACTTAAAAACTTATAAATATATAAACATAACACATTCAACACTAAAAAATCACTCATAAATACACAAAGAAAAAATAACTCACAAACAACATTAAACCTTTACACAAATGAAAAATAAAAAGGATCGAAGATTAAAAAAACCAACTAGAACAATAAAAAAACTGACTTCACAATAACTTGCAAACATTACTCACAGCAGTTAAAACATTATACAAATTAACAAGAAAAACAACCAAAAATCAAAAAGACCAACTAGAACATTAAAAACTGAACAATAACTTTCAACATTTCAAACATTACACAAATTAAAAATAAAAAGGGCCAAAGATCAGACTAACTAGCACAATAAAAAAAACAACTTTACAATAACTAAAACATCACTTACAGCATTTAAAACATTATACAAATTTAAAAGAAAAAGGAGCAAAGATCAACTACAACAATAAAAAAAACCAACTTAACAATAACTTACAAACATCACTTACAGCATTTAAAACATTATACAAATTAAAAAGAAAATTGACTGAAGATCAAAAAAGACCAACTAGAATACCCAGACGCTGAAGGTGGCAAAAAGGCAAAACCTGTCTGAACGAACAAAAATCAGTGAGGATGGTCAGACCAATATGATACGTAACTGTCGGATAATTTAAAAAATTTTAAAACGAGCTAATTGATTTAAATAGTCCAATTTATGTGCTCTGATGCTCTGATTCATTTCCTTTGACCAGTTTATAAAAGTTCACGACTAGCAATATTTTATTCTTTCATCTGGTTCTAAAAGCCAGACAATAATTATTATTATGTTTTGATTTCTCTGCAAGATATTTGAAATAGCTTTACAGAACATCCCCCAAGAATGGTTGGTGAATCTCTGGAGCAATGTCCCACAAGAACAATATTTCCAGCAGAAAAATAAATTGAAATTTTTGTCTGAATTATTCTTTTCAATATTAGTCATTCATTTAAAATGTATGAGTAAATGAAAAAGAAATGTAAAATGTAAAAAGAAAATGAATATAAATATAAAAAGAAAAGAAAATATAAAAAGAAATGTAAAAAGTAAATGAAAAAAAAAAGTAAATGAAAAATGTAGAGTAAATGAAAAAGTCAGTTTCTAATTGATAATAAATTTGTCACAATTGTCTCAAAAAACTTCAATAAATTATTATTTCAGGTAAAATATAATATTTATTAATCAATTATTATTTGCACCGAGGGTCTGATTCCCCAGAGTGATCCTCCTATGTATGAAAGCCTCTGTAGGAGTGAGAAAGCTTTATAAATTCATCCCGTTATATGGACCCTCTTTCTTGGCTTATCCATTTTGAAAGGATCCCTTATTGATTAGTAATGCTTTATTGAGTTATTGGGCACTGAGGGCAAAAGAAGTTCCAAAGTCTGTTGTCTAAAATCTTCTAATCCCATTTGTGGGTTTCGCACACCTACTTATTTCTTCTGAAAGCTCGATATATCTGTACTTTTTACCAACAGACTGCATGAAATGGAGCTTGTCCAGCAAAACTCATTAATAAATTAGCCAAGAATTCCCTTTATTTTTAGATTTAATTATGCCCTAATATTTTTTAAGCAATTTTTTTTTAATGAACAATTATAAATCAGAATTTCAATCATTTGCAGATGAAGAAATCAAGTTAAATGAACTTCTCAGGTATTACCCTAGAAAAGGTCTTTGGACCCTTCAGGAAAGCAGTAAATTCATAATCTGTAACTTTTATTTTTATTCATTTAGGTCAGTTAATTAAAAAGGATTTTAGTATTTAAACTACCACAATAAATACCATGATTTTTGTAAATTTTTAACGACATTGCTAATTAAAAAAGCTAATTTTTTATGTTTTCAAAAACCTTATACGAATGTCAAATATTTAATAATTATCTCCAATACAGCCACATTTTTAAAGATTTTATAATCACAATTTTATTTGATGTCTTTTTAAACAACTGACTTTTTATAGACTTTCAGAAGCTTGAAAGAGAAGCAAGGATATGCAGAAAATTGCAACATCCAAATATTGGTAAGCCAAAACATTATATTTAATATTATGAATGAAATAACTGTATCATAATATTCAATAAATTACATCCAAAATTTGATATTATTAGGTGTTTTGTTTGTTTTTTTAATAACTAAAGGTAAAACATCCAGTTCAAAAGAAACTATATATGATAGATTGATAATATTATTGTTACTTTATTCTGTACATTGTTGTTAGATTTTATTTTTTATTTGGATCCACTCTATTCCAGAGACGTAGACAACCAAAAACACACTTTCATAAAAAGTAGTAATGTGTGGTATTTATTGACAGTTAGTTAATGATTATTTGGAGATCGTGAGATGCAGTCTGGTGTGACGTAGGTTTTAGAAAAACATTTTTTTTATCGTGCCAACGTACGATCTTTATTGAGATCATCTTCAGGGCTCAAAGTGTTTGTTTCCGTGTAGTTGTGTCATTCTTGCGTGTTGTGTTGAGAGTGCCAGTCATAAAAAGTAGTCTTTATTTATTTTATTTTATTTTATTTTATTTTTTTTTTTTTTTAATAAAGACTACTTTTTATAAAAATGTGTTTTTGATTGTCTACATCCAGTTCTGTTTTGGCCATAATTTGTATTACTTTTATTCTTTATTATTAACAATTTCTGATAATAATTTGTTTTCAGTTAGACTGCATGACAGTATTCAGGAAGAGAATTTCCATTACCTCGTGTTTGACCTGTAAGTAAAATTATTACTATTTATTTATCATAATATAGTTATACACGGAAAAATTTATTTAGAATATTTATCACTCGTCAAGTTTACATTTGATACCTTGTTTGCAGAGTTACTGGAGGGGAATTATTTGAGGATATTGTAGCTAGAGAATTTTACTCAGAGGCTGATGCATCACACTGCATTCAGCAGATTTTAGAAAGTGTTAATCACTGCCATCAAAATGGAGTAGTTCATAGAGATCTAAAGGTACACATTTATTATTTAACAATCAATTATTTAAAGTTTATATAAAGTAATTTTACTTTACTAAAATACTATATTATTTTTTTATCAAACTTTAGTGAATAGTGAAAATGTTTTTTTTGTTTTTTTGTTGACAGCCTGAAAATTTACTATTAGCAAGTAAAGCAAAAGGTGCAGCAGTCAAGTTAGCTGATTTTGGTTTAGCAATTGAAGTCACAGGAGAACAACAAGCATGGTTTGGTAAGTTACATCCAACATAAGCTAAGATAAATCAGTTTTAGTATTAGCAAATAGATGGATTACATTATGTACATGATTAAATAGATGTTAGTATGTAAAAAGTTAGATTTGCACTCCAACAATAACACTACTGACTCTCATTTTTTATTTATTTACAATTATGTCAGAGTTGTCTGTCCACAATAATTTTAGGTCAATAATCATTCTTTGTTGTATTAGTTAAAACATAACTAAAAATACTGTTATTCTAAATTAATATGAGATTTTTTTCAGGATTTGCTGGAACTCCAGGATATCTTTCACCAGAAGTACTTAAAAAGGAGCCGTACGGCAAACCAGTTGATATTTGGGCCTGTGGTTGGTTGACTAAATTATATGTGATATTTCCGGATTAAATGAGCCTGTATTAATCAATTTAATTTTTAGGCGTTATACTATATATTTTACTTGTTGGTTATCCTCCATTTTGGGATGAAGACCAACACAGACTGTATGGACAAATCAAAGCAGGAGCTTATGATGTGAGTATGTTCTATAAGGAAGTACGTTATATTATTTTCATTTTGTAAATTTTACTGTACATAGTACCCCTCACCTGAATGGGACACGGTGACACCCGATGCAAAAAACCTAATCAATCAAATGTTAACTGTTAACCCGACAAAGCGAATAACAGCGTCTGAAGCACTAAAACATCCATGGATATGCGTAATTATATTTTTAAAATATAACAATTGGTTTTAATGTGTACGTAATTTATATTATTCTGTAGCAACGAGAACGAGTTGCCTCATTGGTGCATAGACAAGAAACTGTAGACTGCTTGAAGAAATTTAACGCTAGGCGTAAACTTAAGGTATGACTGATTTTTTTTTATACTTGAAAAATAATTTTATACATTTTCAACAACTTTATCCCTTGATTTTAGGGTGCAATCCTTACGACGATGTTAGCAACAAGAAATTTCTCCAGTAAGTATGATACTGATGGTACGTATACCAGGCAGGCCCCAAAATACAAACAATGGTATCTTCTACCCTTTCATCATTTTTTTTGTCACAGGTTTTATGTTGAGTAGAAGAATTCTGATTGCTCAATTAGAAAATCGTGTTTTACCACTCAATACCTTGTTTTTCTGTTTGGATTTGAAAAAAATTCCCAATTTATGTTTTATTCATTACATGTTTTTATGGTTTAATTTTTTTTTTATAATTAACTAGTTTTAAATTTGACATTGGCACATTTATTTCTGCATGTTCAAAGAATAAGAACATATACTTTTGCTTGCACCTGCTTGGATCATATTACATATTTAAATCTACTTTTCTTAATTCAGAACCGGTGTAATTTGTTCAATTTATTTTTTTAGATGAAGATGCTATTCACCATGAAAGGGGATCAGTACAATCGGTAGCTTCTAATGTCTCTCCTGGTTCAGAGAAACACTGAAAACAATGAAAAACAAAAACCTTATTTTTCTCTCTTCTAAACTAATAATAAAACTATAAAAAACTAAACCTAGTTTATTTTATTTTATTTTTAATAGAAGCTAATCTTAATTTGATTTTCTTCTCATTTTAAAATATAATTCTTTCTCATTTTTTTCCACAACACATTAGACAAAAATATACTATTGATCAAATCTTATGTTTCAATTTTTAAAAGCTTCCCTTTATGCTAATTTAAATTAAGACAGGTCAACTTTCTTCTCAAAAGGAAGAAAGTCCAACTTTTTTATCCATTTACTTTCCCGCACTAAATTCCAAAAAAAAAGCATGCTGTCTCAGCCTACTGTTTTGTGCACAGAAATCTTATCTGTTATCTTAACAATGATTCTATACTATTACAAACTTTCCCTTTAACTTAGCTCTTTTTCTTACAAACATTTCTTATAATTAGTTTGTTTTTTAAATTATATGATCGTGAATAAAATAAAAATAATATGTTCCAAATTTTCAAAAATAGGCATCGCAAGGAAATTGGTCAGAGTAAATTTTTTCTGCATTTCAGTCAAGGTGATAATGAAATTGATGTTATTCCATAATAATGAATTGTTTTAATAATAAATATATATCATGCCAAATAAATGTTTTTTTGTTTTAAATATTTAGCATACATGGTATATTTGCTTATTTAAAAGGCTTCAATATATCTTTTTTTCCAGAATATTTTAAGTAATTTGATGGATACAAAACATGCATAACATTTTTTACTACTATTATTAATTTTTGTTCTATCTTTGCATTGTGTATGTATCATATAACAAAATAACATTCTACATATTTCAAATTAAAGAATACAAGTATTTGTTATGTCCTTGCATATTAATGAGAGACAAAATGAGAATTCTTTGAAAGAGGTGAAGCGTTCAGAAAATTCCAAGGGTGATTGAGGGAATCGTACCCATGACCACAAACAAAAAAGTTTATAAAACAAGTTTTTTTTTATGCTGTGTTAATATATTATTGTTTTTACCTGCAAGTTTACTATGTCTTCTTTATTTAGTGTTAAATTATTAACATTTTCTTTATATATTTTTATACCTATATAGATTTATATAAACTCAATTCTACAAACACATATACATAAATGAGCTTATGACTTGTCCCAAGCTGCAAGAATCCTACTTTGGGTCTTGGCAGTTCAGGGTCAGACTTTAGCTTTATCCATTCCAGTTAGGCTCCAGGGGCCTAATACAGCCTAATAATTTCAGTTCTGTCACTTATTCTTAAATACATTCTTTCTTATTTACATACTATTCACTCAAATAATTGGTTATGCGCTTGCATATTAGCAAGAGACAAAATATAAATTCTTTGGGAGAAAGGGAGTGTTCAGAAAATTCCGGGGATGACAGAAGAAATAGTACTCTATCCTTGAGGTGGAGTAACTGATATTCCTCTATCACGTTTTACACATAAAATTAATCTAACTGAGGGTTGATGAGGTGCTCAATATTCCACCCTCTCAAACTACATGTTTACACTAATAAATTCATTCAACCTGATTAAAGACAAAAGAGATCACAAAACAAGATTTTTCTGTTCTGTATACAAGAAAAGAGCCCTGTTTCCCCCAAATACTCGCTGCCATGTTCAAGCAGAATTCTCATACCGGGTGGCATTCCTTCATGCTCTTTATATGGATCGCAGGAATGTCTACGTTATGGACAGTGTCAGCCTTGCATGGCCTATTCTTAATCGGGTGAGGATGATACCTCTTCTATGAGGTCACCTGTGCACTTGTTTTTCAAAGTTTTTCTGTAGACCAAGATACATATTGCAAAACAAATTTAGATGATATTAATACTTCAATAAAACGTTTTTTTATTTGTATTTTATTTGTTACCGATATTGTAAATCTTTTAAGTTAAAAAAAAAGGTTTGTAATTTGATATCTTGAACATTTAATTTGATATTGTAAGAAACAAGCTCAGAACTGTAAGAAGAGAAAAATATATTTATTTATTTAATGCATTAATTTACTTACACACCAATAAAAAATATGTTTGCCAGCATCAAAAGCTTTTCTTTTTTTCTTGCTTTTCAATAAGTTTATTTTCATTCTGACTAACATTTTGAGTATGTTTTCACCTCAATGCTTACAGCACCTTAATTTCATTTTTCATATGTTGCTTGACTGCTTTACAATTAATCTTCTTCATAACTAACATTGCACCACTTTGGGGTCTGTCAGGTATAATGAGAAATTAAATTTCATAAAGCTATCTGCATGAATTTCAGTTCTCTAATAATAAGGTTTATTTTTTTCCTCGAATGTTTTAAATGATTGTTATGATACATATGCTAAAAGAAAACTTATGCAGTATTTAATTTAAACCATAAATTTACAGCTATGCTGCAGTGAACATTGGGATATTGAATTTAATCCACACAATTATTCTGCGTTCTGTTTAACGAACTCCTAAGCTGTTTATTATCTTAGCTACTAATAGCAATAGGTCTTTGGAAAATTTTATTTTTTCTTGGCTATTTAAAAAAAAATAGTATCAAAATAAATAAATGTATACTGTAATACTCACTTATAACTATAGAACATCCGTGGTAGCCATAAGCTTGAAAAATAAAGCTTGACTTATCTGCATAATAAACTAATATTTACTATATAAAGAATTTTCTAATAATGCAAAGAAAGTATCTTAATTTTAAAAAGCAATTTATTCATATTTTTCTTCTCGTCACACTTTAATATTTATATATTTAATATGCTACAGTACAGCACAGTAATCAAAAAAATCTTTTTTGCTTATAATTAGCTATTTACTTGATATTTTAGTCATATAAACTTTGATATCTAATTACCAATAAATGTCCAAAAATATATTGTAACAAAAAATCTTTAGCTAGGCTTGATGTTACCTATTGTACCAACCACCTCCTATCTGAACGCTAATCGTTGAACCAAAACATATGTATTCCTACCCAAGTACAAATCAATATAAATCAATAAAAAGAATCTAAGAATAGAATCGGGTAGTAAAAATATTCTTTGTGGTAATATTTATTTTATCTAAACCTTTACTTTGCATAAACTGACCCTTTGCCACACTCCCTTTGTGTAATTGTGTGTTTTCCTTTCCACATATACACTGAAAGCTTACAATTTATCAATTTTATCGTTAAATTCTGTCATATTTTCAAAAATTTAAAATGTCCGAGAATAAACAGAAAATTTGAATTTCAGAAAAAATTTAAAATCAACTCCTTTTTCAGAAGTATTTCAATTATAAAATCAATAAGAAATATATATTTATTTAAATAATGTTCTCATATGTTTTGTATAATTACTTTTTTGTAGTGTATTTTTATAAAGTTTAATATTTATCCACATTATTCAACAGGTCGAAGTATAATAACAAAAAAAGGCGACGGATCTCAAGTGAAAGAATCAACTGACAGTAGTACAACACTAGAGGACGACGATGTCAAAGGTAAAAAGTTTGTATTAATATTTTTCAGTTATTTGTTGCAAATAATTCTTTTACATATAAAACCATAATTTCTACTGTTTATATTACATATAATACACTAAAAACACATAATTGTATTGCATTTTCTTTTGCATTTGATTATTGTTTATTTTCAGTACTCAAAACATTGCTAATTTATGTGCAAATTTAAAGGTTTGGGTTTAAACTAGTTATTTCTTTATATTTTAAAATAATTAATGATGATTTTTATGTAGATTTCTGTTTATATGTGGAGGTAAAAAGTGTATGACTTAATGCATTAACATTAAGATTATAGAATTTTATTAATACATTAATTAATGCATACAGAATTATATTAAATTTATGTTTCAGTTTCAACAACAAAATAAGCCCCTTAATTTTAATATGCATTTACATATTTTTTAAAAAGTAGAATTTTAAAATTTTACAACTAATAATTAAAAACATCCTATTTTAATATTTTGTTTCATAGTACGACTATAATCCAAAGTTTTGAGTTAATTCAAACATTAATTGATTGTAAAATAAAAATGGTCTATACGATGGACATATCAATACATTTCTTAATTTTATAAACAGACTCTTATTTCAGTTTATTTTTATTTTTTGAAAAACAATATATACCAACTTTTTTGTTTTTATGTTTATTAATTTAACAACCTCTTTTTGTAATAACAATAATCTACCATACCACACTAGTTTTTGATATAAAACACTTAATGAATACTTTAAATTAAATGAATAGCTATTTATTTATTAATGATCTAATTTTGGTTTTTTACTTTGATCAAATAAGGGGTTTTTAATGTTAACCATTCTTAGGATTTTTTCACTTTTTACCTTTGCAATTTAAAGCTAATCTTTAGTTATCTTTTATCACCTCCTTTTTTTCAATTTGTTGCTATAAAATAAAAATGCAAATTAATTGAAACTTGGAATGAATGTAAGAAAATAAGCGTTAAATATTTAAAATATTGCGTTTGTTGGCAAGCAAATGGCGTGTACATAAAGTTTTGTGCAATGTTTATGTAATTATTGTTTTTGAAATTAAAATTAATCGATTAGCTGAGGTATGACATGCTTGAGGCATAGATTATTTGGGCATGCTTCACAAAAATTAGTGTAATCAAAATTTGTTTGTATGTTTATATCCCCAGTATGAAAATGTTTTTACCCTTTTAGACTAAATTTATGTTGAATTTAATGATTATTTTGAGTATTACGAGTTATTTTATTTTCTAATCGTCAGCCCCACACATAACTTGGTTTACTAAATATCAAAGAAAACAATATTTACAATTAAATTTAATTAACACAATATTGGGTAAAGCATGTTGCCTTTTGCATGTTATAGCAGCAAAATTCCTACGATCCCTTCCCAACTAAGGAATAATATAAAACTAAAAATATAGCAGACCCAGATAATATTTACAATGAAGTGTTCATTGGTTATAAATGAGCTGATACAGTCAGAATAATTTTGAAAACAAATCTGGAGGGTGTTTGTAATATCCATGTAATTGTCTCCCTATACTTCTCTTACACTTCTCATTGGGCTATGAACAAACAAAACCAAACGTTAAAACTAAAGAAAAGCTGATAATTTTGTATTGTTGACTGCATAGAGGACAAGGTAAAAGGCGGAGTGGATCGTAGTTCAACAGTCATAGCTAAAGACCCCGAAGGTAAATTAAAACATAAGTTATACTAGTATTTAATATATCTAAAGATGATTAAAGCAATGAAAATTTTAATAAAAAAAAATTACAGCTAAATTAATTAAAGCGGAAGTTGTTTGGGGTGGGGTAATAAAATAAATCAAATCTCAAACAATTTCCTGATTACCCAAATATTTTTAATCTATTAAAAAAAGAAAGATTTTATTATAAATGAATTGAGTAGGTATTTACTGACAGATATATTTAGCAAAGCGCAAAGTTCATAACATAAACAATTTTGACTTTATTGTTTGATTTATTTAAATACAATGATTACTCCTTGAATAGTTCACAAATATATAATTATATTTATAATATATAATACTTATTTAATAGAATATTAGGAAAATTAAGTAATTTTTTGTACAATAAAGTCGAAAATTGGATGTTAAATTTCAAATGTTCAAAACTTTTTTCTGTCCGCTTTATCAGTTACAATTTTTTAATTTATAAAAATATCTTTGCTAAGTTTTCTGTTTCAACTATTTAATATAGAAAACAATTTTAATTTTAAAAAATATATATTTATTTAATGCTATATTCCCAATAATTGGGAGTAAAGTAGGATACCAAGCCCCTGAAATTAAGAAGTATTTTCAATATAATTTATATGTATTTTGACATCATCTCTTTTGAATTTTTTGTTTTTCATATGAATTCATCATGCTCAAAATCATTAATCCCTTCATTGGTAAAATTATGTAATAAATTCCTTTAATTAAAATACACTAAAACATTTATATTTTTTATGGTCATAAATGAAACATTGCATGGACTTTCAATCTAATGACGTATTCCCAACTAATACAGCTTTAAGCTAGTGCTTCCAAATTTCAATACTAACCAATATCATAACAGATGCACCTTTAACACAAAATTTCTTCCCTTTTAACACATGCTTGATATTTATAATTAAATTGTATCGCATGCATGAAAAATAAACTGCGCCCAATCTTTGCTTTTTAGTCGTGTGTTAATAGCTTTTGTCGGATTGGTTTATTGCTCTGTGCCATCGGTGTGACTTAAAATATCACTAGAGAGTATTCATTGTGAAAAAAAAAATTATTCTGGGGTTCAGAGGTTAATTGCGCCCCCAGGTAGCGGCACACCTCCACCTTCACCTGCAACAATCCTTGCGACCACTTCTAGGTCACCGAGCTTTCCTTCCTTAGCAAACAACTCCAAGACTTCGCCCAACATCAGTTCTGTTCTCTTCCACTCACTGCAAGGTAGAAGCTTGTGAGAGTGCAAACTGTCTTTGATTGAGCAACAATTTTGAGATGACTAACAATGTTTGTTTATTAATGTTCACTGTTTGAGTTTTTACAATTTAATTGTATTTAATAATGTCTCTAGTTATGCCACACACATTTCTAAAAACTACTCAATTTTTTTTTTTTTTAATAACTAAAGATAGTCACATTACAATTACATATTCAAAAAAATTTTAAACCAACAATTTTCACATCTTGTTGATTAAATTTTAATAAATATTTTGTGCAGTCTACTTTGGCTTTTAAATTCACTTTTCCTTTTAACTTAATTAATTAAAATTAAAGCACAGGCTTGTTTTTTTTTTTTTCATAATGGTAGAGCACTGTTACAATGACCAAAATATTTTTGTGGAGCTACAGGACCGTAAAATTGATTAAGTTTGTAAATTTATTTTGTCTTGTTGCTTGTTTTGCCATGTAAATGTTATCATGATGCATGTAAGCATGTTTCACAGCTACTGTGGTGGAAGTTCAGAGTGAAGATAAGTGTTTAAAATCCTCAGCATGTCAAATGTGGGTCAACTCTAATTTCCCTTCTAACATGATCAAGAGCGATTCTAGTAATTCAGGTAAAATTACTTTTTAAACTGAAATCCAAATAAGCAAAATATAATTTTAACAATTAAGATATATATTTATTTTATTTACGCTGTTATTTATTTCTTGACCATAAACAATAAACAGATAATGGTTGTTTGTGTTTGTTTTTTTGGTTAGCACATTTATTTTTATTTTTTGTTTTATTTTGCGATGTAAGTCATTTATTTTACTTGTGTTCAATGTTTGCATGTCTTTAGAAAGCTCAGATTACTGCTATCATCCGTTAAGGATAAACTCCGAAGAAACAGAAGGTAAGAAATTATATTACACGTTATAATAAGTGGCACATGGAAAATTTTGTACATTATACAAACCATAATGTCACCTTATCAAAATTATGGACATTGAATAGAAATGTGACACTCTTAAAATTACAAATAGTGAAACACTAGTCCCTTGCCATTTGTATTGCATGTGAAAGCAAAATAAATTTTTTAAACTATGGCTCATTCTGCATCACCTTTAAAAACTACCTTTTTCATTTAACCTGAAGTCATATATTTATGCTATATTATAAAATACAGTTTCCATTGAAATTCACACTTTCTTTTCTATAAACATTCAGTGATTATATTCCAAACATATTTGACCTATCATTGTACTTTTTCTAAAAAGACCTTCTATATAAATTAAATTATTATTAGTCAATAATAAATAATTTGTCAACAGTAGAAAAAATTATTTTAAAAATGGGATTTGAGAATTTTAGTGTAAAATTATTTATACTCCATGTTTTAAACTTTAACAAATAATAAATTTAACCCCTCCATTGTTATAAATAAACTTGAAAAAATATAATTTTAAAATGTGTACAGACAGGAGGAATTTCATCCTATTAAATAAAAACCAGTGGTAATCCACGAACTAAACATTTTGACCGTGTAAAATGTTGTGAGGTCTACAAGGTGATGTGGGGTACTTGATAATTCCCGTTCATCCTGGTTGGTGTTATTTTTGTCAATTATGATTATATGAGTTTGTACAGAGTACAGACCAATCACAGGTATTTAAAATGTTAAAATGCATCTGATAAACAAAACCAGTGAACAAAGATAGACCAAGATGATTAGAGACAATTTAGATACTTTATCACCATAGCACAATTTACGTTTAATGAGGCAAACCAATAAAAACTATAATTTAGAAAAATCAACTAAAATCACACATATTTTATGAGTATGAACTATTCTATTAAATTATTTAATATCTTAAAAAGTACATATTTTTAATGTTAAGAAACTTTTATTGCAAGATACTCCACTCTAATCACAATAAAGTACACGTATACTTATACATACCATTATTTTCTTTCTTTTTTACACCTCATTGCATCCATAAATTTTTTACAAGGCAAAATATACATCAAATGATGATGTAGAAACAAGTAGAAAAATAGAAATGGGTTGGTATCCTACAATTATTTACAATGTATACATTAATTTAAGCACCAAAACCTTTTTTGCTCTCTCTCGCCCTTTCTTTTTTTATATTTATCTCTCTCTTTGCTTGTTATACTTTTATTGACATAGTTGCAAAATTTTCTTTTTTGGCATGGTTTAAATTTTAAAAGAATATATCCGATCACATCAAGTGCATAGAGCTTATTTAATCGAATTTCAAATCGAAGCATGATTCCAGACTGCTTAAATTGAAAGATTTACTGTTACAATTTTAGCCAAAAATAATGATAGGTCCTTTTGATTTTTTATAAATATTTTTGTGCGAAATCGCTTATATTTACATTTATATCTGGAATGCATTTTACTTTACAATCAGGATCTGAATTTATGGAAGACCCAAACAAAACTACGACTCGCCAATTAAAACTTTTAAAAAAAGTCAAGTCAATTAACATACTTTAAATATATGAACCATGTTAAAAATGGAAACGCAATTTTGATTTTGGGCTGACTCATCTCAGGCTACAAGTTGAATATCTAATCATAATTTATTACATTTAGTATTTATTTGCATATCGTGCATTTTATTTTATTTTACAATATTTATTTTTTATATTATGGTCATTTTTTCCCGGAGCTGAAATTCTTGCTTGTTTCAAGTTTTATAGTCAGGTGATCTCTCATTATTTATTATTATTATATATTTTTAGTAAATAAAGCCGATTCTTCTTAAAACCTACAAAAATATTATTTAATTATTTTATTTTAATGATTAGATATACAACTTTAAAAAATGAATCAGCCTCCGAATTGGAAGCAAAATTAAAGATCTTCAGCAGATGAGAGATATAAAAAGGTAATTGGTCTCAAATGTGCGAACAGGGCCAACGCAGATGTTCAAATGTATCTTGTCATGAGTTGAAACCGTCATGTTCTTGTTATATACATTGGGTTGTTACCCCTCTGATCTAGAACTAAGGATCCACTGCTCGAAGACAGTCTCCCAGCTCTCGACAAACTCTTGTGGTTCAGGTGAGAATATCATAAAGAAACACATACACTACACATTAAGAAATTGTTGATGTATTCTTTATACTTTTGCAACTTTATTATAGTTGGAACAGGATTTATTATGGTCTCTCGCCATATATGGCTTCAATTTGTCAATTTAATTTTATGAAATAAATTAGAAGTTGTAAGTTTATTTCTCTAAATGGAGCTTTTAATTAAACATTTAAAAATAAAAAAAATAAAAAATCAAGTATTATGTTGTGCAGACAATGAGCCAAAGTATTTTTTACTATGTGTTTTCCCTATAACTAGAGTCAAATTTGAATTAAATTTGTCTAAATCGTTGGTTCTTTGTCTATGCTATGACATAAATATTGTACAGTTGTAGTAGTTTTAATAAGGTAAGATTTCATTTGTTTGTTTTTCTTATGATCAATTATTTTTTATTATTGCTTGTGAAAATTGGCTTTTATAAAGTTTTTGCTAATTTAAATTTATTTTTATTTTATTTTCACTATTTTCTGACTAATGTTTTGCTGCTTTTTTTTAAATTTTATTTTTTGTTACTCAATAACATTTTATATTAACATTAAATCATTTTGTTTGATAGTTTTGTTTTATTTATAGAACGAACTTGTGTGCTATTTTTTGATGTTTATATTCTAAAAAAAATCATTATTGGAGCTAACTTTAAAGGTCTACAATAAAAACTGGTAGGACACAGTATCTAATATATCGTTTAATGTTCTGTCGTCTTATCATTTGACAGTGTTTTTTCTTCAGTTGACATGTTTACACCAATTTTAATGTTAATGTTTGATAAAGGTTGCTTGAAGACTAATTAATGTTTAAATGATTAATTTTATCCCGCCCTGTTTCAGCTAAGAAGCAAGAAGTGATAAAAATTACGGAACAACTCCTTGAAGCTATCAACACAGGAGATCAAGAGACATATACGTAAGAAACATTAACAAATTTAAACACTTCAAGATTTAATTTGTCTATTATTTCTCATAAAAACGAATCAATGGATTAAAACTATAAAAAATATTAGTTGTAACAACTAAAAACTATTTTTTTATCCACTATCCCGCCATAGTGGATCAATGAAATTGAACGAAATTGACTGTATGAACCACCCCCTCCAGTTCAACAAAGTTGATCAACTTAAGTTTGATCCACCCAAACTTTTGTTGTTTAAGTCGAGTCTTCTGATTCGATATTGACTTGACACGTGTAAACTTCTCAGTTGAACTTTTAACAACTTTTACTAGGCACATGTTATGTTTTTTATTTTTTTTATTTTATTTTTTTTTTATATTTTACAAAATAGTTTACAAAATGCCTCAAGTGGACTTGAAATGTGATGCTAAAATTATCAAAATTTTATCATAATAAATAATTTATTGATAATATACCACCATGTGTAACTATGTGACAAGAAATATTTGTCAATTACCTTAAAACCATGAGTTCTCATGATAAAAATTTTATAATATAAGTAAGGTCAAGATTTTCCAAAAAGTGTGTGATGTTTAGTGACCAATGATTATTTGAAGATCATGAGGTGCAGTCTGGTGTGACATAGGTTTTGGAAAAACATTTTCTTTATCTTGACAACGTTTTGATCTTTATTGAGATCATCTTCAGGGCCTGGGATTTTTTTTTTCACACTCTACATGTATTTTCTAAAACCTACGTCACACCAGACCGCACCTCATAATCTCTAAATAATCATTTCCCAAAAAGGACAAAAGACTAAGAAGGGGACAAATGTTGGTCTAAAAGTTACCTTGAAATATTACAAAATAATAATAATATGAAAAACTGGTGGAAAAATTCATGAAAAAGAAAGGAGTATTTATCAAAAAACACTGGCATAACTTCACCTGAATTTGCAACATTTTTTCTTTTGTTTGTAGCCAGTTGTTTGGGAATAAAGCTTTTAGTTTTTTCCCTTTTACTTTGCTGTAGAGTGCACAAGAAAATTCTGTGCCTTGCATCATCTCCTATTTGGCACACGTAGCATAATGAATGGGCTGTTGGTTCTTTTATACTTAAAAAAGTTTGCTGCAAAATTCCTGAGACCTTTTAGCATTTTTAGGGAAGCACTTCAAAATTATTATTATTCTATTGTTGATTTTTTTTGTCATCTTGTGTCAAACCATTTCTTTAATTTTTTTAGCCATTCCAGTTTGTGTTCCTCAACATCAAAGTTTCTCTAATTTGCCTCAGTGTTACCCAGCTTTGAAAGAAAATTTTGATGGGTTGGACAAAGGCAATGACTTGTGAGGATGTCGTCCTTTTAGGACTTTGTACACCTCAGTAATGTTATCCTTTGGCTGTGTTCAAGTATCTATTTGGCTTGGCTATTAACTTGTAAAATTTTATCAACTAATCCGCATTCAAACATTTGAGGAATGCTACATTTGAAATTTTAAAATATTAGGTTTTTGAGTAATTAATCGAATCTGAATGTTATCTTTTTTTAATGTTTGACTTGTTCTGTTTCATATCCGTAAAGAACGTACTGATTTGTTTGTCACATTATGTCAGAAAAGTATTCCAATTCCAAATATTGGGCAAATAATTTAAAAATTAACAATAATAATGCAATTCGAGAGTTACTGATCATTTTGGCCTGCATGTCCTCACTGAGTTGGTCTGTTCAATCGGCATTTAACATCAGCAGACAGGCATTTTAAAGATGAGGAAATGCCAAAATGCACCTGATGAAAATGATCAGTAACGATCCAATTGCACGGTCAGATCAAAGGAGGAAATCTCACAAAATTATTACACTACTAATTTCAATGCATAAAAAAAGTCATGAAAGTTTCCAATCACAAATATTCCAATCATGCAATATTACAAAAAATTCTGAAATCATTCACTTGAAAATTTTCTAGTCAATAATCAGAATATCAATATCTTTATAGCATTATTTATCTTTCAGAAAAATATGTGATCCTCATCTGACTGCGTTTGAGCCTGAAGCACTGGGAAATCTTGTTGAAGGAATGGAATTCCACAAATTTTATTTTGATCATGGTAAAAGTAAGGGTTTGTTTTAAAGTTTTGCACAAACTATTAATGTCTTAAATAATTTTTTTGTCCTCCAGTGGTTGGAAAAAATTGCAAAGGTATTAACACAACAATACTTAACCCAAATGTACACCTCCTTGGTGAGGAAGCAGCCTGTATTGCCTACGTGAGATTAACCCAATACATTGATAAGTAAGTTAACGTTTAAAATAATTAAAGATAGTGATTATATTTCTATGGGAAATGTTTGTAAATATCATAGTAAGTAGAAAAATTAACAATTTATTGGTTTTTTTGTTATAGGCAAGGAGTAGCTCATAGTTGTCAGTATGAAGAAACACGAGTTTGGCATAAAAAAGACAACAAATGGCAAAATGTACACTTCCATAGGTCTACTAATTCACCACCATATTCCTTCCCCCCACCGCCTGCACAAAAGTAGTTTATGTTATAAACAAATGAAAATGAAAAATTGATGAATTAACACCCTCTACAATGAATAATATTACAAAAAACATCCAATTTTTCCTTTTGGTATATTGCCTGCCTTGTTCAGGAAATCATTTCACAAATGGTTTTTTTAATACTTTTTGGTAGGGTTTGCCAGAATGCTTACTATTAGCCCATTCACCATTGAGTATGTAAGGATAAAAGAAAGGAAGCTTTGTTTTTAACTTCCTCGGACTTTGTGGTGATATTGGCGTCTTTAACAATTAAAAATAAAACGTGTCAGTTGGGAGTCCTCTGATTCACCACCTCCCAGGACATTTACTGTTACTCCAACCCTAATCCAAGGGAGAGAATGTTCCTCTTTTTATTATTTATTTATTTCAATTACAGTTTATTTTATTGCATTTGTAGAGTTGGAAAAAATTACACATAAATTGGTTCAAACGTTTTTTGAAAGATATAAAATTTTTGAATATTTCTTCTATTATATAAATAGATTTTCTACAACCAGTAGATAACATGCAAGATCTTATTACATGAAATTTCACTATTTTCATGTTTTCAAATTAAGTAGATCAACAATAAATACTGTAAGTGTGCTTTCACATTTAATAATATTTTCTCTTGCCCTGAGAGACCAAATGTTTCATATTTTATGTTTAAATTGTTTCTTTATGATATTTAATTTGTTATCTAGGAAAAATTCTTCACCATTGTTAATTGTTTTATGATGAATCTCAAAATATATTTTCTGATTTTTATGCCTGGCAGTAAAGCAAACCAGTAAACAATTTTGTACTGTGTTATAGGTTTGATAAATGTTTATTAAATAAAAATAAGACTAAAACATTATTAAACTAAAATCATTTGAAAAAGTTATTGAATTGATAGTTTATGACATTTGTAAATTCTTGGGGTGACGGAATAAATTTTGTTCTTATATAAATTTAATATAAGCTTTAAAAAAAACTTCAAAATACAGATTATTAATATAATAAATGTACTATTATTATTATATTTAAGGGTGACTTAATGCCTAAGGTCATTTCACGCCCACTCAATTCTATTATTGTTATTATTATAAATTTTAATATATATGTATATATATTAAAAATATTATTAATGCGTACAAAAAATATATATATACATATGTATATGTTTTAATTCTAATATATTTGATTGTTTACTTTCACCTTCTTTATTCTGGCTACAAAAATGGAAAAAATACTTGGCCTAATTCACCAACTGTGTATACAGAAATAATTTTATCCAATTTGAAAAAGTTAATATATAATATAAAATATTTGTAAATACATGGAATATAAGAATGTTTTTGAAAATTTCACTATTTATTGTAGAGATGTTGGCAAGTTGTTCAAGCTGAGTTAGACTATAGAAAATTTTAATATCCGAACAATTTTAACGACATTTCTAACATATTATCTATTCATTGTAAGTCATAATTGACTTTATTGATTTGCTGCAACTTTTGCAAGAAGATAATTTACATTTAAATTCAACTATGTAATAAAATTTTCCAATATTTCCTAACACCAAAAATATAATATAGTCTTTAGTAAAATAATATAATAAAATAAAGATCAAATCATGCAATATTAATGGTTTTTAAATTTAAGTTTCTTGAACATTTTTATCTGATTTCTCTGCTGAATTTTATTATTAAAATACTAGATAGGGAAAGAATAAAAATGGTTTTAACATAAAATATGCTCATAAGAGAGAGTCACAAACAACTATGAACATACAGATTCCACTTTTTTTCATCATTTCTTACATTTTGCCTTGTAATTCTGAATAAATCAAATTTAAACTATATGGTGCTTAATAATTATTATTGGCTGATTGATTGGTAGTCAAGCATTAAATGACAAATAATCAGTTCCAAGTTCAAAACCTAAGAACATCATTTTCATTAAACAGAGATAAAATTAGCAGTTGAAAATTTGGTACACAAAGCAATTTTTCTGGACCAAATTTAATGAATATCTGGAAAATTTGGTGATTCATAATTAGATAGTAAAAAAAAATCAAGATAATAAATAAGCAGTAAATATGTTTGTAATATTTAAGACTGAATAGAAGATATTTTTCCCCATTAGATTCTAATAAATAAATAAGTTATTCATATTAACTTACCGTACTTGCATTACAATGTGTATTCATCATTTAGTTCAACCATAGAAAACAAAATTGACTGACAAAATTATATATTAGAGAAAAGTAACTGAAATCGTTTTGTAATATTGAATACATCAAACTGCCTCCTATGCTCCTTGGCAACTTGCTCACATTTCCAAAAATTCAGATGAAAATGAACAATGTTCAAACAAGTAATTTTCTTTCTTTTAGTAGATGTTAATAAATGAAAACAATCACTTTCCCTTTTTGCAAATTATCTGCTTTTCCTTAAATAAAATTATTAAGTTTTAAAATATGATTTAACTGCTACTTCAATTCAATGAAGCTGATTGGTAATAATATTGAAATTTGAATACTATAACATTTTATTATAAAAGTTCATATTTAAGAAATGCATCTCCATTAGTACGTATTGTAATTAACTGCTTTATATCAATCCTTCAAATGTGGAAAAAATTTGTTTAAAGGAACTTTTTCTAAAAGGAGTACATTGTCTAGCTTTGCCCCGAAAAAAATATCAATTTTTTTCTGTTTTAATGAGTATGCTAAAATATTTTATTCATTGTTTTTCTTTCATACCTGATTACATTACATTTTATTCAATCACCGTTTATACTTAAGGAAAATATTTTAGAGACCGTTTCATTTACTTAACCGAGAGAAAAATTATGTAAGAAGTTATTCAGAAACTTGTAAACACCAATGCTTAAAAATGGTTTGTTTAACACATTTGTCATTATTAAAACAACACAGTATACAAGCTCAAAAAATGTAAAGGTAAAAAATATTGTATAAATTTGAGAGCTTTATGCATAGTCTAGATTTATATACCGGATGAGGCCTTTCAAACCTTCTGAATAGACTGCCTATGACTATCTTTTATAATTATGTAGATTTTAGTTTTTAAATGATACTACGTAGAGCAAATTGTTGCCCTATTACTTGTTTCCCTTCTTTAACTTTTAGGCAAACTTCTTTTTGAATAAATTTAAAAAAAAAATTAACTCACTATAAACATAATTTGCCAGCAAATAAAGTATATAATAAATAGAGGGCTCACAACTTTCAGAAATATAATCTGAACAACTGTCAAAGTTTACACAGTCAGTATTTTCCTTTGACGCTAAAAACTACCTTTATAATTTTGTTTAGCACTTTCAGTTGCAATTCCATTATTTCGTTTAAAGGTATTTTATTTATTCTATAAGATAGAAATAATAATTTGAAGTAATGTAAGGGATTTATGTGAGATGTTTTGCAAAGATGTCTATTACCGGCTAGTCCATGATACCTATGAAGTTCACCTCTATTTTGCTCTCTCACTCTCTATATTTCTCTCATTCTCTCTCTCTCTCTCTCTCTCACTCTCTCTCTCTCTCTCTCTCTCTCTCTCTTTCTCTTTCTCTCTCTCTCTATCTATCTATCTCATTATCTCTTTCTCTGTCTGTATAACACTCATTCTATCTCTATATGTTTTTTAAAATTGTATTACTTTTATGCACTATTTAATTAAAGAAAAACCTATTTGTTTTTTTTTATAGAAGATACTTTTTACTAAATTTTGTTTTGTAATTAAAACATTCACCAAAAAAAATGACTGAAGTTCTTGAGGGACTGAATATTGCCAAAAAGAAACTTGGATCATATAATATCATTTGAAAATAACATGCATTGTAAAATATATTATATATATATATACATATAAGTAAGAAAAAATATTTGATAATATTGTTAATGCAGAAAATTAGCTGAGTTACCAATTTTTGGTTGTCTACTGTTAATTTTGTTGATGTTTTCATTATGTAAATTTAAGATTATATAATAGTATAACTGTTAAATATGAAATAAGCTATTCTTACTTCTGTTAAGCTAAGAATGTTATTCAATGTGTCTATTAGAATTTGTGACTTACTATACCAAGATCTCATGCACAGTCGCAATAATCTTTACATTGTTCTTAATATAAAAACAATTTAATATTTTGTAATTATTCCAAGACACATGCAATTATTTGTTGTAAACAGTTTATAGCATTCTGATAAAACTAACTATTGATTTTTGTTTTTATATTATCATTTTTATTGTTTGTGTATTCATACTTCAACTAAGCTATATAGAATTTCTCATTCTTAGAGAAGGGAACTTGTGAATTTGTTTAAAAAAATAGATATTCACAATTACGCCATTTTCAAGATGAATTCTTCCAAATATTTCCTCCGTTTGTTAATAATGTTGAAAAACGATTATTTTACTTTTTAATCATTGAATATAAATATATAAATAGAGATCGACCATCTGATGGAAAGAAATAACTTATGCACTTACCAAAGTAAAACATTTAAAAATATATTATAAATAAATTATGTGAACTTAGCTTCTTATTGATTACATTTGCAACTTATTGTTTTGTATGCAATGTGTTTACAGATTTCTGAAAAGTTATATTGAAAGTAAAAATATTTAAAATATTAAAACATTTTTAAAAGTTGTACTGTTATATAATTAAAAGAAACCTTCAAAACTTAAGATTTTAGAAAATGTTCAAGAAGATATTTATATCAAAATGAAATATCTTACAAGTGGAATAGGCTATAGATAAAATATTTATTTAAAAAATAAGACCTAAACCTTTTTTATTGGTTACATAGATAATTTAATTGAGCATATTACATACATGAAAAAGTTGTATTTACTATATTAATTTAGTCAAACACACGCAATATTTAATGTTTTATAACTCTGAACTGATTTTGAACTGTCGCTGGGCTACTTATTGTGCCCGTCTACACTTGTAGGTTTTGATGGTTTCAAATGTGTTTCGGCTTTGTACCATCTTCAGTGAGGAAATACTAAGTAAACAGAAAAGTTCGCGTGGTTTTTCATTTGTTCATAGTTAATACTGTTAATCAACACTTCTATTTAATAAGAAGATTAGGTGTTTAAATCACGTTATACCAAGAGGATAATACATTATTTCATGAAGAAAAGTGTCTTGAACAATTCCCTATAAATTATAAAATATTTTATTTCTCATGGTTTCAAAATTCATAATTTGTACATGCTTATACGAATTTAAGCTTGGTACTACAGAAGCAATAGAGCTCATAAAATTTGTTCAGCTTACAGTGATGAAACAATAAGTGAGCACGCTGCCCAAAAGTGGCCAAAAGTTTCTTTCTGGGAAGGACGGGACTGAAGTTGAACTAGTCTTGTAGACCTGTCTTGAATGATAAAGAATTAAGGGAAGCCATCAAACCTGATCAGCGGAAAATATGCCAGGGGCTTGCCAGAGTTCCATGTAAGCGATGAAACCATTTGCTCAAGCTTGTATTGACACTGACCTCAAGATAATGAGGACAGCCTAACTAGGTGAAGGATACTCCAAATGCAAAAATCCTGGTTAGTGCGCTCAGCAGGCTAAGTAGGCTATACCAAACCATACAATGTATATACAACTTTGTAATGAGTTGATATTTTACATTGGTTGTGATATTTTTGAAGTTATTCCATGAAGTCAAGAAATGACTTCAGCGGTTAAATGCTTTCTATGCATTGTGTCCTAAAGTTTTTGGTTTTAAATAACTAAAAGCCAGTGCAGAAGTAAAATTCACTTTTTCTTATTTCTGTAGTTTCCTTATTCACATACAAAGCTTGTTCAATATCTTTTTATATATTAACTAAATATCTCTCTCCAAATTCAGAGTTTTAAATATAAAGAATTTGAAGAATATAATAGAAAATTACCAGTTACTATCCCATACCTCTTCTTTCAGTGCTATCAAAACTGTTCAAAAAGTGATTGTATTGCCATATCCTCCGACAAATCGAATCTGCTTCCTCGACGAAGTTCGGATTTAGTAATCGGCACTCTTGCCCATGACAGCTACATTGAGTCATTGATGAAATCCTAAAGACAAATGAACAAAAATTGAAGTATTGTAGTATTCATTGATGCTAAAAAGTTTTTCAACCAAGTATGGCACGACAGTTTGTTTGCCAAACTAAAACCTCATGTTACAGAGACAATGTTTCGTATTACTCAATCTTTCCAGTCACAACACTCGTCGAAGGTGATATAGAACTTTCTAATAAGCTGGTTTCATTGATATACTTTTCTTTCATACATGAAATTCACCATACAGCAGATACTAAGACAGCATAATTTGCAGATGACACTAGGTCTTGCAAGTGGAGCTTAAGGGGAAGAAGCCCAAGCATCTATGGAAGCTGTAGACCAATGGACCAGCAAATGAAGAATCAATATTAATCCAGCAAATCGTCTATAGTTGTCTTCACTAACCAATAGAACTACAAGATCTCACCTCTAACTCTAGCAGGCTCATAAATTCCTTGCAAACACTTCATCGCATATTTAGTGCAATCTTATGAATCAAGATTGACATGTGGGGACCATACCATCAAAATGGTCTCACTGATGCACAACGAGGCCCACCGAATAAAACCTTAAGACAAAAGTCATTGCGTATAAAATGCTAATTCGTCCAATCTGGCTGTATGGATTGGTAATGTGGTGTTCCGCATCCAACTTGTCACTCAATAGAAAGTAAAGCAAAGTAGAGCCTCATGATTAATAACTGCATCACCATAGTACATGAGAAGCTCAGCTTTGCACCATGGCCTTTTATTAAAGACGTTGGGATACACTCATCGCCTCTTACAGCATATTCTACATAAAAGCAACAACAAATCCCCTGATTTCATTCATACCAGACCATAGGCCACTCCCTCGTCACCTTAGAAAACTGAAACATAAACACCACATGAACCTGACTGAAGGATTCGGCTTAAACCAAATAATTAAACTGCTAACTATTAGTGAACAGAACCTATCTTGTGTTTTTCAACTGAGAAATAATTATAGTAAGACCAGTGCTCAAAATTTAATGCGTTCACAATATTTAAATGACTCTAGTACAGCAAAATGTACATAATTGTACAAATTTCTATTTATTTTGATCTTCATAATGGCCTGTCATATGTTGTTGTTGTTGCGGTGCAACAATAAATTTTATTCCATGAATAAATAAATAAATAAAAAGATGAATATATAAATCCTAAAAGATATCTAAATTTAACAAATTAAAAAAAAAAAAATAGCGCAATAATTTTACTTTTTTCAACATATGTTTGTAAATATGCAAAAAAAAAACTAAACTTCTCAACAACTCCTGTGGGTTGGGATCTATGATTCTGTAGTTTTTTATTGTACGGTTTTTATTTGTTTCAGAAGATTAAATACAATTTTACAAGATATTTGGGCCTAAAAACCTAACAAATAAAGAAACAAAGGAGGAAAGAAAAAGCTAACTAAATTTATTGTTTGTATTATTGCCACCATATCATTAAGAGATCTTAAATATAATGTACACTGAAAAAACTGTATTTTTTAATACTTAACAATGGCATTAGACATAACAATTTTCTAACCCTTTAGTGTGTAAATAAGTTAAACCAAATTTTTAAAAAAAATCTGCTATAGTTTGGTGATCAGTAGATGAAAAGAATTTTTTCCCTACAGCTAACTTACTAGTAAAAGTCAGAACAAAAATGTTTGTTATCAATCATTCCAAGACTTGTAAAATTTTCTGCTTGATAAATGAAATTTAGTATGGCAATGGAAAATCCAGTATTTTAAATCTTTTGCAAAAACAGATGTTGATTGAACATATGTTTATATTGTAAATGAAGTAATTTTTTATTAAAAGGTCTTGCCCTTATATTTTATAAACGTTAAAAATGTACGGGGAGGAAAAAATGGAAAGTTCAGACAGCGATTTTGAGGATCCGGACAAACTGGAAGTGCCAGGAGGAGGAAGAGATCTGGCCGCTTTGTCAACAGCAAGAAAGAGCGCTGTCACGTTCCAATCGACAAACAGCCATTTGCCTAAAAGATATGATAATCTTTTTGAAGACTTTGTAATGAGAGGTAAGAATAGTTCGACGATTTTGGACAATATTCAGTTCTTAAAAAGCCATAACGGCATTTACACCGATTTATTGGGATCGAGATCTTCAGGTATGGGTGGCCCTTATGGTTTACAATTCGAAGGAAGCCAGATGCAAAAGAGTTTCCCTTGGAAAGACAGTCTATCAACAGAGCAGATAAAACACAATTTAACAAACGTCGAGGAAACCACAGAAGACGAAGGAATGGGTGTTGCAGAAACATATGCAGATTATATGCCATCAAAATTAAATTTTGGCCGGAAGCACCCAGATCCAGTTGTAGAATCCACTTCTCTTTCAAGTGTAGAACCGGTAGACGTCTGGTACAAGCTGAAAATTCCAGAGAGTGTTATTTCCTCCGGCAGTCTTTCCGCTCTCCAGTTAGAGTCCATTACTTATGCCTGTCAGCAGCATGAGTTACTACTTCCTAATGGTGCCAGGGGGGGCTTTTTAATTGGAGACGGTGCTGGAGTAGGCAAAGGAAGGACCATTGCAGGAATAATCTATGAAAATTATCTTCGGTCAAGGAAAAAATCAATTTGGATTTCAATTATGAATGACTTGAAATATGACTCTGAGCGAGACCTTTCTGATATTGGAGCAGACAACATCAAAGTATTCCATCTTAACAAATGCAAATACACTAAGCTTAATTCTGAAGAAAATGGCTTAATAAAAAAGGGGGTTATATTTTGCACTTATAGTGCTCTTATAGCTAAGACCACAACACAGGATTGTGAATTTGAAAACAGGTTCGATCAGATAGTAGACTGGTGCGGTCCTAATTTCGATGGGGTCATAATCTTTGATGAATGCCATAGGGCAAAAAACCTTTGTCCAGGTGGCTCTGGCAAACCAACAAAAACTGGTCTCACTGTATTGGAATTACAGAAAAGACTGCCAAAGGCAAGGGTTGTCTATGCTTCTGCTACTGGTGCAAGCGAACCGAGAAATATGGCCTACATGGTTCGTTTGGGAATGTGGGGTCAGGGTACAGCTTATGCAGATTTCAACCATTTTCTCAACACAGTGCAAAAACGGGGTGTCGGAGCTATGGAAATAGTTGCTATGGACATGAAGCTGCGAGGTCTATACATTGCTCGGCAGCTTAGTTTTCATGGTGTTGTTTTTAAAATAGTAGAAATCCCTATTGATCCAGCATTCATTAAAATTTATGATGAAGCGGTTGAACTCTGGGTTGAAGTTTTTAAAGGGTTCCGACATGCTGCAAGCCTCTTCGATGCAGACAAATCTGTGTGTGTAGCTATGTGGAGTCAGTTCTGGTCAGCACATCAGAGGTTTTTCAAATACATGTGCATATCGGCTAAAGTAAAACATGCTGTCAATATTTCTCGAGAAGCTATAAAATGTGGTAAATGTGTTGTTATAGGTCTGCAATCAACTGGTGAAGCCCGGACCCTCAACCAACTGGAAAAAGATGACGGAGAACTGACAGACTTTGTTTCCACTGCACGTGGAGTTTTAAGAACCCTTGTCGAGAAACATTTTCCTGCCCCAGACAGAAATTCTGTTAAAAGAATTATAGGAAATGACATTGCCAAAACAGAAATATCTCGCTCTAAGAGAAAAAAGAGAAGAAAACAAAGCCCAGATTTACTAAATCTAAAAACTTCAGACAATTTTGATAGCTTAAGTGAGGAGGAAGTCGATGATAAAAACTATGACGATAAATGTCGAACAAGTGGTGTGAAAACAGATGATTTTAGTTTGTCAGGAGACAATTTGATCCAAACAACAGTGTTTCAGAAAAAACAACTACTTGCCAAAATAGATATTTTAGGGAAAAAACTACCTCCAAATACTTTAGATGAACTAATAGATGAATTAGGTGGACCTGAAAATGTGGCTGAGATGACTGGTCGAAAGGGAAGGGTTGTCCATAATGATGGCAGCTACAAATATGAAACAAGATCAGAAGTAGATATACCATTAGAAGTTTTGAACCTAAGGGAAAAGAAAAGATTTATGGATGGTAGTAAAGATGTGGCAATTATTTCTGAAGCGGCCAGTTCAGGTATATCATTGCATAGTGACCGTAGAGCTCTAAATAGAAAAAGAAGGGTTCATCTTACATTAGAGCTTCCATGGAGTGCTGACAGAGCGATACAACAGTTTGGTAGAACACATAGGAGCAACCAAACAAACGCCCCAGAATATGTATTGCTTATTTCAAATCTTGGCGGGGAAAGACGATTTGCTTCAATTGTTGCAAAACGGCTTGAAAGCCTTGGTGCTCTGACACAGGGTGACAGAAGAGCAACAGAGGCAAGAGATATGTCAAAATTTAACATAGATAACAATTATGGAAGAATGGCTGTGGAATTGACCCTTAAGACTCTTGTTGGGCAAGAGAATCCTTTAGTCCCTCCTCCAACAAGCTATGAAGGAGATTTTTTCAAAGACGCCATTAAAGGACTAATAGGGGTTGGCCTAGTTCTACAGTCTGAAAATAATCCAGAAAGTCTGCAGCTGGACCATGATCGAAAATGCCTCGGCAGATTTTTGAATAGAATTCTAGGTCTACCTGTCAACTTACAAAATGCTCTTTTTGAATATTTTACTAACACTATGGAAGCTATTATAGAATCTGCAAAAAAATCAGGTCATTTTGATTTAGGCATTCTTGATGTTGCTGCACAAGATGAAAACACTAAAAGACTAGCTGTTTATAAATTCTTTAGAAAACAGTTGACCGGGATGACAGTAACAGAACTTCATAAGGTGAGAGTAGAAAGAGGGATGACTTGGGCAGAAGCTGTTTCTCTCTGGACTGAATTAAAGACAGTGCATGAGGGATTTTATCTTTCATCACAAGTACGAAATGGCAATAATGAGGTTATTCTTGTACAACTAGAGAATGGAATTTCAAGTATTAAAAAAAGCTTTGTGAAAGAACAAGAGTCATATTGCATTCATAGGCCAAATGTTGGTTTGCAACTTAAGCGAGAGAATCTCAAATTTATACTTAAAAAATTCAAAAAGATCGGTTTGGAAGAAGCAGAACATCATTGGAAAAGTCATTATAGTGCATCGTCGAGCATATGTTCACACAGTTACTGGACCGGGATCTGCAAGAAAAGTTGTTTTGAAGGCGAATGTGATGTTGGCCTGCGACATAGGACTTACAATATACTTTCTGGTTCTGTATTAAGTCTGTGGAATTCAATTGAAAATATTGTTTCTACGAGCAGTGGTAGTGCAAGATTGCAAGTTGTCAGAGTTAAAACAAGTGAAGGCGACAAAATTGTAGGAACTCTCATTCCATCTAATTCATTTCAGAAACTTTATGATGAACTCACAGCAGTATCAGAACGGGTGGAAAAACAAGTATTTTCATAGCAAAATAGTTTGCTCTTTTAAATAAAAGAATTGATTTAATTATTGTTGTTTTTTTTTAATTTTCCATCAAAAATATTTAATTGAATTAACCTGTGCAGAATCATTAAACACCAATTATTTTAAAATGTTTTACTATATTTTGAAAAAATGTATATTTACATATATAGAGGAACACTAAATGAGACCTTCCTTTTGGGTTTGGGTTTATTGGACGAAGCGTCTATTGATTTTGGTGAATCTTCATCTGATGATTCTGTTGTACCACTTTCGGTTTGAATATTTGTTATTTTTTCTCGAGATTCTTTTCGTTTGATTGAAAACAGACGTTTTGCCAATCTTTTTATTGCACTTTCTCTTTTAATTGGTTTCACTGCAGATGTGCATAGTTTTTTTGTGTAAGATTGCACTGTCTCTATGCTCGTGTTGCTATCAGCAGTTTGCAAAAAGTCATAGCCAGCATCAAAGCGACTATGCGGATTAATTCTTTGGTTTTTAAATCTTTTTGCTGGAACTGGTGCACTATGGTCGGTAATAATAATGGGAATCGATTGCCTATGTTTTTTTGTTTTTTTCTTCTTTCTATTATTTGTTTTTGTTCCTTCTCCTTCCCCATCACCATCATCGTCATCATCATCATCATCCTCATAATCATCTTCTTCTCCTTCTTCTTTCCCTTCTTCCTCTCCTTCTTCTTCATCATCATCATAGTCCTCAAACTTGGTTCTTAACTTTGGTTTTCTAAAATATGGTGACATTTTTACCTTACTACCAACGATAGGTTTAGATCTTTTATTGGAAAAAAAGTAAGATTCTGCTTGTTCCCAATTATGCATAGCAGCATGACCAATCATGTTTGGTAGAAGTTTTTCATCAGGCGCTACTTCAACTTCATTCGGATTTATATTATACATTTTGAAATCACTAGAAGGAAGTTTTGGTTGCATTCTCCAATCTGTACTTGGTCCTGGGCTCTCTAATTTGGATGGATTTGTAGCAGTTTTATTTGATGAATCATGTTGCTTATTGTTATTTGAGTGGTGATAGGCATTATAATCTTCTTTCGGTTGATTAGGACTTGTTTCTAGTGAATCATTCAAATTTCTTTGTTTATTAAATATATGGCTACTCTCATTTGGCAATACCTCTTTTTTGTCTAAAGGCTGTTCTTCAGAGTAAGATTTATTGTAAAACCCCTCTTGGTGAATTTCTCTGTTGTTTGGTTCAAAATATTCTTTGTTTAATTTTTTTTTCTCATTAGGCACTTCATTAGTCGGTGTATCAGGAGGTTTTTCTTTTAGGTAGACAATCTCATATTTATTGCCTTTAGCTAAATTATGTCTATACCTGTCAACAGCAAGTCTTGATGTTATAAAACTGTCCTGTTTGCCAGAGGGGCCAAGGATGGTTGAAATTACATCATTATCTGGTTCTTTCATTTCTCTTGTACGTCCATCAGATGAGTACTCTGTAGATGGGAGAGAATTTGGACGAGAAACAAATCCACTCCTTGACTTTTGCAATTTTTCATCATATTTCCGGTCTCTGCTTTCGGTGTAGTCACTGTTTCTAAATTTCTCATTGATCGTTGCAAAAGACAAATTTTTTTGTGCACTAAGATTGACATTATAATTGTTCTCGTATGGAGGTGTTTTGTCATGTTTTTCATTTGTCTTATGGAATTGTTGATATTTGTTTTTTACTATCTGAGTTTTGGTGTTAACTATTGGAACTTCACTTTTAAAGGTACTCAGTTCTGTTTTCACATTTTCATTTGACGGTTCTTTGGGTTGTGTAATGTCAATATATTTACTTCTATTGTGTTTAAAAAAATTCTCCCCAATCGTGCTTTTATAGCTTAATTCCCTCTTCTGTCGTTTTACGTACACAGTAGGAGACAATTTTCGGGCATCGTTTGGTCTTTTATCATCAGGCAATAGATTTCCTGAATAATCATATGGCTTATATCTTGTTTTTGGATAAAATGTAGGCTTGAGAGGTGGTGGATCATGTCCACCAGGGTTAAATTGTGTAGATCTAAATGGTTGTTTTGCAAATTCTTCACTGTAATCTCTCAAATGTTCTGCATCATCGGGGTATTTTTCCAAAACAGTTTTATGGCAAAAATTCTTTGACAAATCCTCAGATTTTGTTTTCTTCAAGCCCTTGTCATTAAAGAGCTGCTTTGGTTTTGGAGTGCTTACATTATTTGGACCTGTTTGTTTTTTGAGGTAGGGAACTCCAGTAAGTTGTGTTTCAACTATAGCTGCTTCATTGGTTGTGTATTTACGGTCAATTGGACAAATAGATAAATCTTTTGCATTATTAACAGCACTTTTCTTTTTACTATTTATACATTCTGTACATGTTTCTGAGCCGACAGGATTTGTGTAATTTTTAATGCAGGGGCGTCTTGCAACAGAAGATGGAGAAAGTGGAGTGTAGTCATTATTGTTTCTTTGATCATACCTGAAATCTAAATTCTCATCTTTAAAAGAAACTCTTTCTTTTGGTGCAGATAATCCTTTTTTTTTAGAAGAAGTCTTTGAAGTTGGTTGGCCCTTTATATCCAAATAACCCCTTCGGTGGTGGTCTCTTTTTTTCCTTAACAATGCTGGGTCAACACTTTGCCTACCATATTTCAATCCTATGTTGTGGTATTTGTCCGTTTCCTTATCATCGCATGCCACACCACAATCACTTGAAACATCTAGTTTTCTCATTTTACCTGCATTGTTATCTATCTTTACATTTGAATTAAAATAAGTAGATTGGCGTGGTTTCCTTTCTGGGGTTCTGCTTGTAGATTGTCTTTCTTGTTTCCTAGAACTAGAACCCATTTTTTCTCTTTCCTCTTTAACATTTATGTTTTCATTTAAGAAATGAGCAGATTCATAAGGCCTATAGTTTTTTTTAGCTTGAACCACTTCTGATATTGAACGTAGATCTGGTGGTGCATAAAAATCATTTATTGGCTTCATTTCATCTCTTAAATCATAAGATTTAGTATATTTTTTAGTGTATTTCATTGATGAAGCTATAGTATCTTTTCTATGAGATGCATTTTCCTCCAAATCTTTCAATATTGACATCCGTTTATTTATATAATCTTTATGTTTTGAATTTGATGGATACCTGCTTTTTGAATAATCACTTAAATCTGGGCTTTCTGTTTCCTTGGAATAACTTTTAGAATGAACATAATTTGGCGTGCCTTGAGATTTTGGGGAAGAATGCAATTTTCGATGTTTCAAATCTGAATCATATTTTTCAGGCGTGCCTTGAGATTTTCGGGAAGAATGCAATTTTCGATGTTTCAAATCTGAATCATATTTTTCAGGCGTGCCTTGAGATTTTCGGGAAGAATGCAATTTTCGATGTTTCAAATCTGAATCATATTTTTCAGGCGTGCCATGAGATTTTGGGGAAGAATGCAATTTTCGATGTTTCAAATCTGAATGATATTTTTCAGGCGTGCCATGAGATTTTGAGGAAGAATGCAATTTTCGATGTTTCAAGTCTGAATCATATTTTTCAGAATGTTTCCTTCTATGATAATTATGATTTTCATAATAAGCTTCCCTTTCCCTTTCATTTTTTGAAGTTTTCAATGGTTTTTTTGTTGGGTTAATTTTGTGATGTAAATTATTTTGACGATTTACATCTTTTAATTCTGTTTTATTATTATTACTCATTTCCATCAGTAAATCCTGCCTTTTGTTTTTCTTGCTTGAAACATTCTTTGGGAAAGACTCAGTGCTGCATGACACATTTTTCATTTTGTTGGGACTAATGGATTGCTGTCTTTTTTTCATCATAACGAACTCAGTATATTTTGCAAAATAGTTTTTGTCATTTCCTGATGGAGAACTCCTTCTGTTAGACAATTTGGGAGTTTTTGTCTTTACTGGTAAATCTAAAGGTCCATTCCAATTCTTCTCATCATTTTCATCCTCATGTTGATTTCTATTCTTTATAGATATTTCCGTACTGTCAAATGAAGAATTCCTTGGTATTCTACATTCATTTTCTTTTGGACCATAATATTCATATTTTTTCTGCTCTACTTTTCTACTTGGGTGCTTGTCAGTTTTGGTTTTTCGTAACATCAGCCTAGATTGAATAAAATGGGAGTCAGCACCCATCTCTCTCGAATTCACTAGTGGAATAAGTTCACTTTTTGAATTCCAGTCTAATTCTTCATAACTACTTTGTCTTGTATTTTTTCCACTTCTTCTTTTGTATGGATCTGATCTTGATTCATATAAAACATCGACATCAGGATTGGCTGGTGTGCTTACGTAACCCTTTCTTGATGAAAGATTATAAAAGCTTCTTCTGCTTCTTATATCATTTTCAGAAGGGAAATCAGGTCTGAGTGTTAGATAATTATCATATTGGGAACAGCTCCCTGTTGCACAAGAACTTTTTTTTCTCTCGCGAAGGCGATATACGTCTTCATCATGTTTATTTCGAGCCATGTTGACCAAAAAATCTGTTTGTAAATTCAAGTAAAACTGATCTTGTGTTAAAGGGTATTTCATGAAACCATTTTCAAGGTATTGCATGTTTTTTACACAAGCTTTTTTAATTTTGTTGTATTTTTGCTCATGCTTATTAAGAAGACTTTTATTACCTCCAGCATTGTGTTGATTTTGTTTCTTTCTCCGCTCAAGCTTCATGATTACTATGTAGAAACAAAACTGGGTTGAGTAAATTATATTATAAATGAGGTCAATACTTAAGCTCAACTCCAAAACACTTTTAATTCACAGTTTTTATTGCACATCTGAAAGTACACAAATTTAATGTAAATTTTTATTTTATTATTATTTTACTAGTTATTACCAGTCTGTAAACATTTGGAGGAACAGATTGCAAATATTTCTCTATGCTCAATGAAAATTCATCTATTCCGTAATTCGTCAACTCACTGACTATACACTGATTCTAGAAAACAATATTTTAAATTGAAAAATAAAACATGTCAAAAATATTTTTAAATAACTGTACTATTATTGATAGTATTCAATTGCAGTATTACTGATAATTATTATTTTTATGGAAAATATAGTTGAGTTGAAAAATTAGAATCATGAGCGTGATTTGAACCCTTGACCACCAGATGGGTTTGAGTCCCATTAGTGACGCTAATTTTTCAACTGAACCATACTTTACACAGAAATAATAAATCAATTAAAGTAATTATTTGTTGAATGAGGGTTTGATGCAGCAGAGGTCATGTCAACCCTCGGGAGATGTTTTTGAAAAAAAAAAAAAAACGTTTGAAAGTATGTTAGGTTCAAATGCAGAGCAGCAGGATTCGAACCTGGGACCTTTACCTTACAGGTAAAGTGTTGTGACAATTTCAAACCATTGTGGTCACCAACACCCCAACTGTATTATTAATTGAGGAAAGATGTTATCTCTTTTGATTTTTTATAAAGGGCATGGCCTTTTATTTTTATTCTGCCTTTTTTATTGTAAAAGTGACCTGTTTTTTTTTTCACACATTTTGAAAGTCCTTTCCATTCTAAAAAAAAAATTATATCAGAAACTCAAAAATCGTCAGTTCATCATAGAGATATTGAAATTCTCCTGCAGATCTCAATAATTTCAATTTATCATGAAACTGGTTAAAAAAAGGAGAAAATTTAAAATTTAATTGAATAAAATATGAAAATTTGTTAGACTTTTTAAAATCTAACCGTAAACAACAGGGATAAATTAAAATTATTCAGTTCTGAAAGAAAACTTCAATATGTCTATGATTAACCAATGAATTTTTGAGTATATTGTATCACTTTTTTAAGAATGGAAAGGGTGGAAAGGACTTTCAAAATCTGAATAAAAAAAAATTTATTCCCAAAAATTCACCAGTTCATTACTTGTCTGATAATTTCAATCGTACAACTGATTAAAGACAGGATAAAATCAAAAAAAAATTTTTGATAAATATATCAAAAAATTGCAAGAAATAATATTTTAATCAAAAATATTCAGTTTGCTATAATTAAACATAAAGAGCATAAAAAATTTTATTGTCACAAAACCTAATTGTGAGATTAGTAAGCGCTGTTCCGGGCCACTTTCCCCTAAATTACTTCCAAATGGGCTTTTCTTTAAATAGAATCTGTGTTGCTACAGAGATATTAAAACTGAAGGAACAAAAAAAAGTGTAATTAAAATGAAAGGTGAATTTTAAACATATTTGCCAGTTTAGACATCTACGACAAACTAATAAAATTAAAATCTATGCAAAATTATTTTCAAATTATTCTTTCAAAAAAATCATATGATTGAACAAATACAAAATTTATTTTATTTTTTTGATAATTAAAAGAAACACTAGAAAAATTTATACTTAAAACAAATTAACTTTGTTGTTTGTGGGACTTTTTATAAGGTGAAACTGAGAGAAATTTTCAGGTATTAACATTTAAAGTGAATTTTTTTTTTTTTACAAAAATTATGTGTTGATTTAGGAGAAGACAAACACTTACTTGTAGGGATCTTTCAACTCTTTCACATCTTTTGGAATGTTCCCAGAAGTGGGACCTTGGTGTTTACCCTTTTGAAGACGGCCCTCAATGCAAGCAGGCAGCGTTATTCTGACTTTACCCTCCAAACTGTTCATTGGTTTGTTGCTTTGGTTAAGGAGGGTGCCTAAGAAGATTTTGTATATTGACTGAAGCCCTACAAACATCAAGGGAAGGACTTAGCTTTGGTCAGTTACCAAATTCTATGAAGGCGAGCCAAAATATTAAAAGCTGACATTTATGCTTGGGAAAGAAATGCCGTCTCTTTGATGTGACAGACCTCCTTATTACTACATGACTGAAAAAGTGAAACATCACATGATTGTCATTCTCACATTAATAAAGTGTATTTAAAATTTATTTTTAGTATTTCTTTTCCTTCAAATTATGAATGATTTGTAATAAAGAAATACAAGAACTAGCTATCATATAAATGGTAGAAATATACTTCTAGGGGTAGCGTGTTGTTTTGAATACAACCTGAACATTTAAAAAATCGCCATGTCATAATTGTTCAAAATTATTGTTAATATTAGAAATTTAAATGAACAGAGTTTAAAATTCATGTATTATCATGATTATTAGCTAACCCCTTTGCATAAAAAAAACATGGATTAAGTATTGTTATAACATGACCATCTGGTTAGCTCTCCACAAGACTGCTAATTAGGCCTTATAATAAACATTTGAAATATTGTTCATAACACTGGTTTGCAAAATACTTTTTGTTCCAGTCCAATAAATAAATAGCATTTACTGTTATACAGGACCCCATAAAACATCATAATTTCTTAAACTTCAAATATTTTGTCAAAATTATTTCAGATGTTCTTCACATATGGAGCAAAAGCCACTTTTTGGGCTGTGCCGAGCTTTTGGTGGTTTATTCCACCATTATATTGGCCTGTTTATTAAAAACCCAAATTGACACAAATACAGAGTAACTTGTGTTAATTTTGTTTTTTAATAAGCAGGCCCTGATGATTGCAGAATGAACCACCAAGAACCACCAAGGCTCGGCACAGCCCAAAAAATTGTTTTTGTTCCATATAACCTCTGAAGAAGATCTTATCATCCAAACTTATCTTGCTGCAGGTCGATAAACATCCAAAACAATTATCTCAGATGCTTAAATTATGCATCCTATCACCCATATTTCCAACTGGACCTCCAAGTTTCACCAAAATATCCAAAACTCGATCAGAAATCACTTTCTGATTTGTGGCTCTTCTATATTTCATGACTTGGTACCTCTACTTCAAATACTTCAAAAGTTGAACGTCTCCCCTACTCCAACCTAACAACTTCCTGAACTGAACCTTTCTCTCTATTCAACAAAGTTTTTAAAAGAAAAACCTCCAATTGACATATAAAAACATGAATTTCTCAAATTACAATACTGGTGGAAACTCAGCAACTCTGGCAATTTGGAAAGCATTATAAAAATAAAGTGGTAGAGCAGCGGCATATTTAGCAGAAGGTCTTGGGTTCGAATCCCGCTCGTGACATTGACTTTATCTCTACCAATACCTTACATAAAGATTAATTAATTGAAAGGTGCTATTTGGTCAATCGGACCATGAAGTCTAATGAATTTAATAAAAAATAAAAATAAAAAATTCAGCCACAATCACGTCAAAGTGTAGTATTTCCAGGAATGTTTGGGAAAGAAAGGTTGGGTTAAGTAATAGGGGGGAAGGTTTAAATTTTTGTGGAAAATTTTGTACCAGGATTTAATAATATCAATTACAAATGGGATTTGGAGAATTAGAGGGGACAGTTTAATATTTTTTAGTATTTTTTAATTGATAAATTGGGTTTTGTAGGAATTAGATTTTTTGGAATATGTGTAGAGATTAGTGACCGTAATCGATAGTTATTCAGATATCGTGAGATGCGGTCGGTACATATCTGAATAATTTTTGGAATATTGTAAATAGGAAGGACTCTCCTAGGATGCTGCCTGGATGGACAACCACTTTACTGGGAATATAAGAAGAAAATGCAGCCCCCTGAGAGATATGGCAGTAACGGTCTGACAGATAGTATTTTAACAATAAAACATGAAAGAAATGAAGGTATATATTGCACACCCACAAGAAAAGTGGGACAAGTCAAAAAATTATAAAAACCGGATTATTTAGTTCTTTGAAATATTCTGATGTGTGATGCTACAGGACAAATGACACAATTGTAGGTTGACTATTAGCTGCTAGGTGTGTGAGTATTTATCAAGAAAAGTGGCATATTTCGAGTTATGTGAGTTTTTTTCTTGTTTAGTGAAGAATTTTATGCAGTACTGGAGTTACATTTTCACATTATCAACAACAATTGTTAAATCAATTGTACAAATATATTTTTCATGATGTGAATTAATATAGGCCCTGATGATGACCTTGAAATAGGTTGAAAGCTTGGCATTAACAACTAAATTTGCTTTTGTTCTTCAATGCCATTCCTTGATCTGCATTGTTCATGAATTATTTGTTTAATTTCTTTTATTTTAATAATGTTCTTAATTATGTTTTTTTCATAATTTTTTAAAGAATTTTATCTTTTAAATTTGTCTTTATTTTATAGTTTCAACGATTTTTTAAATGTTTTAATTACAATATTTTTAATAATCAATAAAACCTTTATTTCAATAATTAATTTTGTATTTTAAACAAATAATTAGCCCTGACTCCAGGGGGAAAGTATATTTGGGTCAAAAATAATCATAATGAAACTTACTACATGGATATTTATGCTTGTTTGTTAGGTTTGTATGTTGTCTGTTACTATCACAAAAAAATTAATACCCATACAATTGTGCATTGACCGCCATTATCGTTAGAGCAAACACACTTAAACTCCTGAGAACCAATATACGCATGAATGTCACAACTGAAAAAAAGGGTAGTTTTTTAGGGGTAGGACAGGTCGATTTTTAAAGTTTTGTGTTTTTGTTTGTCTTGGTGAATTGAAAGACAGTATTGGTGGATCATGGCAGCTTTTATTGCCAGCAAACGCAATGGTGTGTACTTAATACGTAAGTATAAAAAAAAGTAAACTTCTATTTGCCCCTCCTGTAACATTTTCTTCTGCTGAGTTATGTCACTTTCCCTGTTACCATATTTAATGCCCTGATGATGACCTTGAAATAGGTCGAAAGCTTCGCAGTAACAACTAAATTTGCTTTTTTTCTTCAAGGCCGTACCTTGATCTACATTGTTCATGAATTATTTCAGTTTAATTTCTTTCATTTTAATAACGTTCTTAATTATGTCTTTTCAAAATTTTTTAACAATGTTATCTTTTAAATTTGTCGTTATTTTATAGTTTAAACGATTTTTTAAATGTTTTAAGCACAGTATTTTTAATAATCAATAAAAACCTTTATTTCAATAATTAATTTTGTATTATGTGGGGGATGTAGACATATTTAAGATTATTTTGCCTGATGATGAGTTGAAAATTGGAATAGGTCAAAAGCTTGGTACTAACAATTAAATTTGTTTTTTTCTTCAAGACCATACCTTCATCCAAAGTGTTCGTGAGAAAGTATTGTTTTCAAGGAAGCGTTGGAGTAGTGTACAAGTTATTTTTGTGCTTGCCAAATATCAAGAAGCTTGAAGTTTTTGAGCGTATTAAAAAAAAGAGCGTTTATCTTTCAAATGAGCCGTTCATTCAGCCGGTTCACTGCAGAGTTCAGGCTATTAACTACGGAGGTTTCAGTCGGTTACAGTTTTGTTATGCATAAGGAAAGGTTGATCGCCGTTTTGCCCGTTTGTATTTAGAAAGTGACGAAGTTCTAAGTGCGCGGAAAGTTCGAGAAAAAAAAAGATGCCCAAGTACTACTGTGATTACTGCGACACTTATTTGACGCACGACTCTCCGTCGGTTAGAAAGACCCACTGCCAAGGTAGAAAGCATAAGGACAATGTCAAATTCTATTATCAGAAATGGATGGAAGAACAGGCCCAGCATTTGATCGACGCTACGACGGCGGCGTTCAAAGCTGGCAAGATCGCCGTCCCGGGCAAGCCGGGTCTCATACCCACGGGTGTTCCGCCTCTCGGACCCAACGGCCTCGCCGCGAGGCCTCCCCCGCCTCCGGGTGCGATGATGGGCCCGCCGGGGATGCCGCCCCATCCGGGTATGAGCGCGATGATGATGGGACCCCATGGACCTATGCCTCCGATGATGGGCATGAGACACGCTCCTCCTATGATGGGCGCCATGGTCCCAATGGGACCGATGAGCCACATACGACCACCTCCTATGATGACCGGCCCCGGACCTATGGCTACCATAAAGAAATAAGAACAAAGATTTTTATATTATTTGTATTCTAAATTGTAACTAAATATTAAGTTAAGCAAATAAAAACAGTACCTTTTTTGGTATCATCTTGTCTTTTTATTTGTTTATTGTAAACCCCCAGTTTACCTATATGTATATGTATGTACCTATAATATATGTATTTAGTAGTCATAATTGACTGTATTAATTATTTAATTAATTATAGTTTTAATCTAAGGTCTTGGTTGAGATGAAAAAACCTAGTGCTCTGCTTGTGCCACCACCTTTTTCATCTTGGCCATGACCATAGCTTAAAAGTATAAATTAAAATATGTTTCATGCAGGGATGGAATGGCTAAGAAGCAGGGGTTTTGTATTCTGCAGCTTTCTGGCTAATTGTACTTTTTTCAATTCCTTACTTAAGCTGGTGATACAAGTTTATGTGCCCTTACTTTCATCACTATTATCCTCCATCTGGATTGCTCTCTTGCTGTTGCAAGGAAACAATGAACATAATTTTTTTTCATGGTGGTGTTAAGGGGGGGTCAATTAAATGGAGGAACCCATCAGAAGAAAGCTGGACACAGACAGTGGAAGATCGTTAACGCCCAAGAGATGAAAGAAGCAGAGGACAGGACAGCCCACTAGGGTGATTGAGAATTTTTTGGGCCATATGACAACGTAAAGACAGGTCCCTGGGACAGATACGGTGTGCGAACAGAAAAAAGTGAAAAATATTTAAATAGTTTCCTGAAGTTCGGCAAACTGCTGGCTATACAGGGCTCTGGAGGACCTTGAGGGATAAGGAGGAAGATGCCGAGTGACTCTAAGGGTTACATCGATATACCAGGCTTGATCCTTTATTAAATTTTGTAAATTTTATTGCAGAGTTGGCCAACTAGTAAAGGTTTTATTATTATTATTTCATAATATGTACATGCATCAATGTGTGATGTGACAGGATCGATGGCGCAACATCAAGCACCCCATCATCCCTCAATTAGGTTAGTTATATAACATGTGTAAAGTTTGTGTTGTGAGTGAATATATTTATTAGCGTTTGTGTGATGTGAGATGGCAGAATGCAGTAACACATCAACCCTCAATTAAGTTAGGTTAGTTGTATAATAAATGTAAAGTTTGTGTTGAGAGTGAATGTGTTATTAGCATGAATGTGAGATGTGAGAGCGTCGGTGGCAGAATCGAGTAACACATCAACCTTCAGTTAGGTTAGTTTTATAACGTGTAAAGTTTGTGTTGTGAGTGAACGTGTTTCTTAGTGTGTGTGTGTGTGTATGTGTGTGATGTGAGATGGCAGAATCGAGTAACACATCAACACTCAATTAGGTTAGTTGTATAATAAATGTAAAGTTTGTGTTGAGAGTGAATCTGTTTATTAGCGTGTGTGTGATATGTGATGGCAGAAACAAGTAACACATCAACCCTTAATTAGGTTAGTTGTATAATTGTAAAGGGTGATGGAGGAATATCAAGTACTCCATCACCCTAATTGAATGAATGGTATGTAAATAGGAGTGAATGTATTTAAGAATGAACATGAGTGCAAATGGGTTTGGAACTGCATGCGTTGGATGCTGAATTGACCTAGCTGTTGATAGCACCTGGAGCCCAACCTCGGTGCCTAGATGGATAAGACCAGGGTGGCTGATTCTCGAGTCTGCTGGCAATTTACTGTATATAGCAAAACTGAAACTGCCAGAGGACTATGAGAAGCGAACAGGACCAACACAGCTCGTTTTTATATTTGTATGTTTGCAGATTTGTGCCTATACAAATCCAATCCAAACATCCATACCTCTAACTGTTTTTGTTCATTTTTTTCTTCATACATTTCTCTCTTTTTATTTGAGTTTGATGATTTATTATCATAACAGACAATGTACTTTATTTCAGTAAAGTTATTGAATATTTACCTCTTGCTTTAATTAATCTATTTTTATTTTTTATTTTGCCTTTTTAAATTTAGAAAATATGCGTTTCCTCATTTTACTGTGAAGTCATTGTATATTTTAGTAGCTCTTTTGTAATCGTAATTAACATTATTTTCAATTAATCTTTATGAAAGGTATTGTTTGAGATAAAAAAGTCAGGGTCACGAGCAGGATTCGAACCCGCAATCTTTGGCTAAATACACCACTGCTCTACCACTTGAGCTATAGCGACTTCGATCTGCTCGGACACCAACTTCCCATCTAAATCTCACCTCTCGAATTTTTGGAGGTTGAGATAGGAAGTTGATGTCCGAGTGGATCGAGGTCACGATAGCTCAAGTGGTAGAGCAGCGGCGTATTTAGCCGAAGATCATGGACTCAAATACCGCTCTTGACACTGACTTTTTTATCTCAACCAATACCTTTAATAAAAATTAATTAATTGAAAAAAGTTAATTGGTCAATCGGACCACGAACTGTAATGGATTTAATTATTTTCAAGGGTAAACCCTAAGCAGATAGCTCTCACTTAAAGCTTTTTCTAAAACCTACGTCACACCAGACCACACCTAATGATTTCCAAATAATCATTAACTAATGGTCACTAGACACCACACATTTCACCAAAGCTTTATTTCATTTGTATTATAAATATTCAAAATCAATATTATTAATAACTGAATAACAGGTGAAAACTACTTTCAGGTGATTTTAATAAATATAATCTCTGATCAATTATTTATGTTTCCAGTGATTTTTACTGGTTTGGAATAAATAATGTTTACTCAAGGCATCTGATTATCTTTATTCAAATATCTACAAAAAACAAATTTTATAAACAAAAATATTTTTATTAATCTTCTGATTTTATTATTAAGACATTATTGCATAAAAATCAAAAATTGGCAATTCAAAGTTTGAACATCTTGCTAGATTCATGCTATTGCACCTTTGCTATTCTATACTGTTAAATGTGTACGAAGGTAAATTTTGACTGAGCCAACAGAAAGAGGGATGCGCATGCAAAAATTATCTATAAATTTCACAATGCCCTTAACATTTTTAACTTTTCATTTGCAGAATCTGAAATGTGTTAATATTTTTAAACTTAAATTACATTGCATTTTTCGAGCCATGACTCTCTTATTCCAGATTGGTTGAGAAAAGAAGAAAAGAGATTAAGTCAAATTTTCATACGACTTAAAATAAACATGTGACAATGGAATAAAGTAAAGCATTGCACAAATGTTACAATTCATAAAACAGATTTATTTTCTCTTTCTGGGTTACATAAAACAGCTGCAATGGCCAAACTCGTAACAAATTTCAACATTAACACATAGGAAACAAATTCAAAAATTAAACCACTTCTCAATTAACAATAATTAAACATATGCTGTTATTCCACTTTTTATTACTGTAATATAATGAGGAATTTATATATTAAAAAAAAACTTCATGCCAACTTAGTTGTCACGTTTAATTACTCAATAGTTTTTAGGTAAAAGTACAAACTTCATTTCTGTCCTTTTAAACCATCAATTGGCCCAATACTAAATAGTCCTTAACAGTAGTAATTAAGACATTTTAATCAGTTTTCATGGTCAGTTTGATGAATATGGCACCTGATATGTGTTGTAATAGTTAAAACTAAAAAACTCAAAACACCATGTATCAGTTTTATTGTTTTATACTTTAGACAATACAAATGTCAATAGGAGAAATTAAATATTTGATCGAAAATAATAAACCATACTGATAATCATAAAAAAAAGAAATGTTCAGTCTTTCTTGTAACAAAACAAAGTTTACGATTGTGTGTATTAAACATTTGAAGTAATTAACAATGTTAATGGTGCCAAGTAAAACCAGCGCTTTGATATAATAATCACTCGACAAGCCAACCGTCTAGGCTTGATCAAGCATCAAACTTTGGACAAAATTCAATAATTTGAAAATCATACAATTCTTCACAGTATTTGTTAAACACACTTTAATTTTATAAACAAAGTTAACTGTATACAATAATGTACATTATTTGAGGGGGGGAGGATTTTCCAAGTTGTGTATTTTGGATCATATTTTTGCGACGAGCAAGTCAATTCTTTCACTTGCAGAATTGTTTACTATAAGGAAAAATATTTGTACGAGTTAACTACATACAAAGCAAATACCCATAGCTTCGATTAGTTTTCCTTTTGAACTAGTGTACAATACAGATTAGTTTATTCCTATTAAATGTTTTGAAAATGTTTTAAAAAATATAGAATAATTTGTATAAACTAATAGTGTAATTTAAAAAAGTCTAGTCTGAATTTTATGTTTACAGAGAAATTGTATTACCTCTTGATTGACTTTACTAACTTTTTGTATAAAGTCTTACTTTCAAACAAACTAAAGAAAGGGAAAATACAAAACCTAACTCCAAAATTACATGGTAACTTGCCTCAGTTTTGTTAGCTCTGTAACACATTTTATATTATAATTATATTTTATTATTACAGTATTAATATTTTTTTTATTAATTTACAGATTTGTCAGGTTTAAACTGTCGTTTTCCCATCTTTTTCCAATTACTAAGAGCTTTAATTAGCTTAAACGTAGCCAATGTTCTCTCATTCACTGATAGTAAATACTTTTTAAAGGTAAGCTCTTTACGTGTGTGATCGAAACAACTGTTAGTCTCTTAGCTTCTGCTGTTTTCAAAACTGCCTGGAAAATCTATGATTTGGTAGAAGAAAAAAAAAACCTGGTATAATTAATTATTGTTTAAAATATCTATATATTTTTATAAATTATACATACCATACCTAAATAGAAAAAGGCTCAAAGTTGAAAACCATGCATACTTAAGTTTGGATCTGGGGGGTTAAAAACGTATGAGCCCGTCTCTCCACTTCCGCTAATAGTTACATCTGGAAGCACTCCAGTATCTTCATCTTCACCATTGAAATATCTGTCTACGATGCCAAATGCCTTTTGGTAGATCTCCATGTTTTCGTGTGATTGAAGGAATTCAATTTTATCCAGGCCTAGAAGACATAATTATATAATAAATTTCACTAATTTCGTGGTTCGTTGGACCAATTAATATATTATAATTAATTAAGGTTTTTAGTTGAGATAAAAAAATCAATGGCACGAGCGGGATTCGAACAAGTTGAAAAATGGCAAAAAGGAGGGAAAATTCAAAAGGTGTGGCTGAGATGGGAAGTTGGTGTCCGAGTGGATCGAGGTCACGATAGCTCAAGTGGTAGAGCAGCGGCGTATCAAGCCGAAGATCGTGGGCTCGAATCCCGCTCGTGCCATTGACTTTTTTATCTCAACTAAAAACCTTAATTATAATATATAATCAATTTAGAAAACCTTCATATTTTAATTTAAAACAATGGTTATGATGAAGTGAATGTATCAGTTCAATAAAGAAAAAAGATGGTTCTTGTCACACACTGGTGTTACAGTAAACTGGATTTCGAGCTGTAATAGCTCATCATCAGACTATGCAATTTATAGATAACTAGATTAGTATGTAGATAATGTGAGTTGAACCATCATTTCATATTATTTCATATTTTAAGGTTAATAATCTGTAGATACAACTATTGGGTTGTCCGGAAAATAATGCAGGATTTTGGTATTAAACAAAAAAAAAGAAACTAGTTACTTTAAAGCAATGTTCTTTAATCAAAATAATTTCCCATACTCTCTCAATACATTTCTCCCAACGTGTTGGTAACTTATTAATTCCGTCTGAGTAGAATTCAGAATTTTTAGAATTGATAAAGTCAATAAATGCATTTTCCAGTTCCGTTTGATTTTTGAATATTATGTGTTGTAAGTAGTGGTCCAGGTGTCTAAAAAAATGGTAGTCAGTAGGCGAGAGGTCCGGAGAGTAGGGTGGGTGAGGCAAAGTTTCATAGCCAAGCTCCAATAATTTTTGTGACGTTACACGTGACACATGTGGTCGAGCGTTGTCATGCAACAAAATGGGCCCTTTCCGATTGACCAAAGAGGGCTTCATTACTGCCAATTTCTGATGCATGGTATTAATTTGGTTACAGTATGATTCAGCATTGATGGTTTCGCCAGGATTTAAGAAGCTGTAGTGTATTAAACCAAATGAAGCCCACCATACCGTAACCATTACCTTTTTTTGATGAGTTGGGGGCTTTGGAAAATGTATTGGAGCTTCTTCTTTGTCGAGCCACTGTCCAGAACGTCTAGTGTTATCGTAGAGAATCCACTTTTCGTCACATGTAACAATTCTGGCCAGAAATGGGTCATTTTTGTTTCGACAAAGAAGTGATGCACAAACATCAAAGCGCTGATTTTTTTGGCGATCGTTTAATGAGTGTGGAACCCAATTTTCGAGTTTTTTCACTTTTCCAATCGCCTTGAGGTGGTCAGCGACGGTCGTTTTACTGACTTTGAGTTGCTCTGCAAGTTCTCGAACAGTTGTTTTGGGGTTTTCTTCCACCACTGATCGCAGAACATCATCATTAAGAGAGGAAGGCCTTCCACGACCTTCTTCATCTTCAAGGCTGAAATCTCCCTCCCGAAATTTTTTAAACCACCTTTGCACAGTGCACTCATTAACACAACCCTCGCCCCAGACTTGGTTAATGTTTCTAGCCGTTTGGGCTCCGCTTCGGCCGAGTTTAAACTCGTAAAAGAAAATCGTACGAAATTCTCGCTTTGACATTATAAGGATGACTGAATTATTTCCAAGTAGCGGAATGCTACAGAGGTAAACAAACAATATCATTTGGAAGAGGATTAATAAGTGTTGACATTCATACAAATGAGTAATCCTGTAAACGTAAACAGAATATTTTATATAGATTTTTTTAAATGAAAACTTAAAATCCTGCATTATTTTCCGGACAACCCAATACAATCAAATTTTAAATACATTATTTTGAACACTGTGCCTAGGAGATGAAAAGGCTGCATATTGACTATTGTTAACAGAAAAGTAGTAATCTTCTCGGGATAACAGAACTCTTGTCTGGGTACCAGGGCACACAGAGCAACAAAGTGGCCAGGGAATGTTCATTGAGGACGCCTATTGACCCCGAACCCTTTTAGGGAATACCAAACAGGCAAAAACTTCGATCCGTCAGGCAATAAATTAAAAATAAGTCCTCACTAAAATGTGAATGTAACTCAGGACATAGGCATGCAAAAAAGTTAACCAAAGTATCACAAAATCTAGCTTGTGTTAGAGCTAGAATAATAGTTGCTGACTGGACAGACTTTGGAGCGGCAGAAACAAACCTGTGCAGTTATTGCCAGGAACAAAAAGAAATAGATGCACATTAGACTAATACTGATCACTATGCGCAGAGGTCATAAAAAGATTATTCGGAAATCGTGAGATGCGGTCTGGTGTGATGTAGGTTTCAGAAAAACATTTTCTTTATGTTCTGAAACCTACATCACAACAGACCGCATCTCACGATTTCCGAATAATCATCGACTAACGTTCACTAATCACCACACACGGTCATAAAAAGGTCATTCCTTTCTAATCTAATCTACTTATGTATAAAATTAATTGTGGACTTTAAATGAAAAAACTTACTGTAACAAACAATTGATGACTTTCACTAATTTGAAACCCAACGGATCACAAAAATACTTTGAAATATCAATATGTTCACATTTTCAAGAGGAATAAAAAAAAATATAAAAAAATTATTAAGAGTTAATATGCATTTTACAGGTTAATAATTACTTAAATTGTACTTATATAAAATATCGTAAAAATAATGAAAAAGAGGAAATAGATCAACTGTAAAGTTGCTAATATGACCAACAAACTTGAAGGGTATGATTTTTTGGCTCCATAAAGAGAGGAAGTAAGTGCGCCACCTGATATGAAAATTGTATTGGGTACCATGTTCCAATTTTTAGAAATGATAAATGATGGAGTGAGTGTGGTGTTCAATACTTTTTAAAAAGATAGTTCCTACTCACAGTAAGTCAATTTATAATAAAGATTTAAAAGTACTTGTTTATTAACAGATTTTAAGTAATTGGATGTGATTTTATTGATTGTGTTATAATCCATTACTGCTTTGACTAGCAAATTAATAGAAATGATAAATGATGGAGTGAGTGTGGTGTTCAATACTTTTTAAAAGGATAGTTCCTACTCACAGTAAGAAGTGTTAATAAACAAGTACTTTTAAATCTTTATAAATTGAGACGTTCATGATCAAAGATTAACAAATCAATCTGGTTCAATTCCCAATGTTTGAAATTAAAAACTTACTGTGAGTAGGAACTATCCTTTTAAAAAGTATTGTTCCAAGTTTTGGAGGAAACAGGAGTGTTTTGGTACATATAGATTTTTTAATTGTAATTAATATTATTGGCCAAAGGTCGAATCCAGCTCGTGACACTTGCTTTTCTCTCAACCAAGACCTTACATTAAAAGAATGACTTATTAAAATAATTATTCTTTATACAAAAAAGTCATTGGTAAGATATAATTTGTGCTAACTGTTTCATGAGAATGTATTTATAAGCTTGAATGTGTAGTACAAGAGCGAAAATTGACACAATAGTGAGTATCACATAGACCCTCATATAGACTAATTATTTATTATTAGAGTATATCCAGTTGTTTATATGTGTAAAGGGTTGTGATGGAAAATGATATGTACAAAGAAAAAATGTATTTAAGAGCGAGTGAAAGTGAGAGTGTGGTCTAGGTTAAAAATAAACATTCATAAGGAGCTGCCTTATTACAATAAGTAATAAAAATAATATATCTGCAACACAGACATACACACAATGTCTAGTGCAACTTAACAAATAAAAAGTAGTATTAAATTACTACTTTGTTATATCAAACTTACCGCAGCATTCTTCCATGATTACAGCATATTGGTTGACAGTTCCATTGACTTTTGCTTCTTGTTCTCCTACCCGTAAAATATTTTCTAGGCCACTTAGTGCAACTTGAAGAATCTTTGTATCCATTAAAGTTAAAAGTTCGCACAAAGGTGGAATACAGCCCTGCGATATTTGTTGTAAATTAAAATAAATGACAAATTATAAATATATTTGTTATGAATTTATTTTTTGTATAAACTAATTTTATTTTTTATATAAACAATTTAATACCTGTTCGACTATGTATTTAATCTGTTCAGGCGAACCGCCGCATGTTGCATTTGTGATGACCCAGGCTGCTTCTTTTTTTGTTTTGAAGTCAGCATGTTTTACTATTTCTATAAGTGCTGGGAAAATATTTGCTTCTATAACCATCTACAATAGAAAAGAAATTTAACTTTTACACAGAAAAAATGTTACACAGGATTTACTTCAAAAGCTGAGTATCATTTTAGTCTACCAATCCACACTGTTTTGGTCTGACAAATGTGTTATGCCATATTCAGTGGTTGTTTGTATATGTTCATTGTGAAACAGTAAAGGAGTGTTGTCTTTTTACATTGGTTTCTATGATGGAATCCCATAATTACTCCAACTTACTTGAATTTGTTGCCTATTTCCAGCTGAGATATTAGATATTGTCCAACAGGCTTCTTTTGTAATGGTTTCTTTCGGAAAACGTAACAATTCTAATAGACAAGGTAATACAGAACATTGAATCATCACTTGGGTCTGTTGGTCATCACCGGTCACTATATTTCCAACTGCTCTTAAAGCTGCAGCCACTACATTATGTTTGTTGTGCCTATAGAAAAAAAAAATAAATAAATAAATAAAAAAAATAAAATAGCGCATTTCTATTAAAAACAAATTAAAAGTTTTTTTTAAGAGAAGTTAGTAATTCAATTGTTGTTTTCATCAGTGAATCAATTACAACCTAGTGCAAATGACAAATTATAAAAACTATTAAATACACATCGGATAACAAATTATATTTAAATTCACTAATTTTGTGGTCCGCTTGACCAATTAATATAGTACAATTAATTAAGGTTTATAGTTGAGATAAAAAGTCAATGGCATGAGCGAGATTCGAACCCACGATCTTCGGCTAGATATGCTGCTGCTCTACCACTTGAGCTATCTTGACTTTGATCCACTCGGACACTAACTTCCCATCTCAACCCCACCTTTTGAATTTTCCCTCCTTTTTGCCATTTTTCAAATGTCATGTAATCAGGATTCGATTCTCGGCGGCAAATGAAATGGCCACGGAGAACTTTAGTGAAGTATACTTCATTTTAAATCATTAAATTCACTAATTTCATGGTCCGCTTGACCAATTAATATATTATAATTAATTAAGGTATTTAGTGGATCGAGGTCACGATAGCTAAAGTGGTAGAGCAGCAGCGTATCTAGCCATCTCAACTAAAAACCTTAATTAATTGTATTATATTTAAATTTATGCCTTTTAATAATTTTACCTAGTAACAACTAGCTAGAAAGGAACTAAAAATGTATAGTTTGGTTCCTAATAAAATTGAGTTAATTAATAGGTATGATTAAGGTATACAACCCATAATATTTTGCCATTAAAATCATTATAACGTTCTCTAATTTCTCATAGAATAAATTATTACTTTGGTTTAAAATTATGCCTATGTGCAAGGGAGATGAGTCAAGCACTTACATAAGTAATTCAACAAGCTTCCTGCAAACACCTGCATTTATGACCGCCTCGATTTTTTCATTTGGTCCATCCGAGAGATAGCTCAAGGCCCAACACGTATCTGCCAACACGTCTGCGTCCACGCTATGAAGAAGGTTGGCCAGAACTGGAAGGGCTGGAGAAACTTTTGCAAAATCTGGTGGTGGATTTTTCCCTCTACATAAATTTGAAAGTGCCCAAACGCCATTTCTGATCATGGAAAGTTGTTCTGATACCCTTGTCGCTGGATCTAACAATCTTTAAAGAAAGAAAAAATTATTTATAACTGTTTAAATACGCTGGATATTGTAATTTAATATTATAATTACCGAAGAAGAGGATTTAAAATTCCACAGTCGAGTACAAAGTCTCTACACTCGGCTGAATCGCCAGCAATGTTCCCCAAAGCCCAGACAGCTTGTTCTTGAACATCAAGCATCCCACAGGAAAGAAGATTGATAAAAACAGGTACTGCTCCAGCCTCAATCACCATCCTTGTCTGTAATGAAGTTCCAGAGGCTATGTTTGTCAAAGCCCAAGCAGCCTCAAACTAAAAGATTTATTAATGAAATAGTATACATTTATTTTATAATGATTGAAATATTTGTCCAATTTTACATTGCACTAAAGAAATTAATTCTTACCTTTAATGTAGCATTATCCGAATCCTCTAAAAAACGCACAAATCTAGGTACAATTCCAGTTTTTACCACTTCATCTATAGGGGGGTTGGGTTCCCTCGAAAGTAATTTTCTGAACTTTTGTGTCGCTAACAACTGTAGCTCAACAGACGGGCTATAAATTGCTTCGACCATTTCCATTGTTATGCCATCCCTACTGTTTTTTTCCTTTGAATAGATCAAGATTTTAAATTATTATGAAAGACAACATGTTTGCAAACAATGTACCGATTGCATGGTGCAGTCATCATCGCTGAGCATATTCGGTATGTTGACATTTCGGCGCTTAGAAAGTTGCTGCTCACGTTTTTGTTTGCGCAATTGTATCCCCTCTTCTTCACGCCTACGCCTCAACTCCTGAGAGTCCAGGCCAGCGTTTTTGTATCGGTTTTTATGTGATGTCATAGACATCTACAACAAGACAAACAAAAACTAATCTTGTGTACTACTCTTAACAAAAAAACTAAAAATTTAATTTTAAAAGGTACAAATAAATATTTTTCCACATGGTATATTCATCTGTTAATAAGTAATGCAAGAGAAATCTTGTTTGTCATAAAGAAGGATGGAGTGATTAAAGAGACTGCTCCAAAAAACAAACTTGGCAGATTCCCTGCGGTAACCTTACAATTACAGGATAAGTTTATTATATATCTGCAATATTTAGTTTTCACTATCACACAGCTTTTCATTTAAATTCTGCACATTGTAATTGCCTTAACTAAGGTATATCTCAGTTGTGAGGAAGCTCTGAAGGGACTTTTATCTAGTGTTAGATTAAAAACTCTTCTATCGACTTATTATTTAGAGGAATGCGAAACATATGGTACCCATGTGATTTTCATTTCTATTTTACTTTTGAAAACAAAATTTTAGTTTCTTTGATTAGAAATACCATGTGTAAAAATGTTGTATTTTCCACTGATAAAGTTAATGATCATCCTTCAATATGTATTATTTTTTTATATTAAAATTTTTACAACAAAAACCCAATTATACATTGCAGATAGCTTCTCATCCTGGACTCAATGGCTAATCTTACAAGGGGATGACCATGTTGATATCATGGATTTGGACTTCATTCAAAATTTGGATTTGACCTCATTGTCGTGATTCTAAAACCATAGATATTGATTTTTGTGTAAATCGATGTAAATTATTTCTTGACTTATAATTTCAACAACCTTCTACGTGATTGTCATTCCTGGTGCAATGTTCTAACATCATTTTTTTTAAAACCTAGGAGACCAAATTTCATACTTTATAATTGTTTTAAGGAAATTGTCAAGTGCATTTTATAACTGTACGTTGTATACTAAAATCGCATTATTATTTCCATTAAAAAAAAGAGGTTAATTTTTAACAAATATTTGTTATATTTTGTGTATTTTCTTAAAGAAATCTTTTATATATTTTCCATATGTTGTTAAAATGCTAGCCCATCTTCTTCCAAATGGTATGTCTGATGTTAGAATCCTTTCAGTCATTTCGGTCAGATATTCTAATAACGACTTATTAAAAATTGAAAAAATTTTAGGGGTCAAAAAATCAATAAATTTAAATTCAAAAATCAAAATTTTATATTAGCTTCATGAAAAAAAAATTTTTTTACCTAGTTTACTTGAAAAACATTTGGTTTTTACAAATTTTTTAGCTATCAATAAACTTTGATAGCTTTTACTATAATTTTATTGTAATCTACATTTAAAAAATGATGTAAAGTGATATATTTACATAGTTCATTTAAGCAAATATAAGTTTAAAATACAAATATTAACAAGTGGAAAATTTCAACTTTCAAAACCAATTTTTGGCGAAACCATGGATGTGATAGATACGTGTCCGATATTTTGAAGTGTAGAATCACCAAAAAAAAGTTTGATCTAAATCTGTGACAAATAAACCTGGTCATCCCCTTGTTAGTCTACTTTTCTAACAATAACCCAATTTAAACTAATATTTATTTATTATTTATTTGATATTATTCATGATGTATTGATGATTATTGATAACATAAATAGTAGTACAATGTACTACAATGTAATACTACTTGGCAAAATTGATTAGACCAAGGTCTGACACCGGACTGCCAAAACCCGAGGTGGCTGATTCTTGTGTACATAATTGAGCTTACATAAATCAGTTACCACCATCCGATAATTGTGGCAGCTAATTCTTCCTAAAACCTCGGAAGACAGTGAAGTACATTTGAATGACCAAACAAGCGAGATTAAACAGACCATGATGACTATAGATACATCACTACCACAATTTATCCCATAAATAGGAAAAAAAGTAATGTTGTATTTGATAATTGTGGTTGCTTATTCTTGTTAAAAGTCTCATAAGGCAGTGAAGTATATCTGACTGACAAGCAAAAATGCAGACTGTGATGATTGGAGATGATTATATTATAGATTATCAACTCAACAAAATATCTCACATACAGAAAAACAGTAATAATATATTCTATAATTTTGCTAAAGAAGGTAAAATACACCTGGCAGGCCAAATAATCAAGAATAAAAAGACCATGATGAACGGAGATGATCAAACTACATATTCATCACATCAACATATATGTCACATATATAAAAACAGTAATGTTGTATCTACTAATTGTTGCTTCTTATTTTTGCTCAAAGCATTGGAAGGCATTGAAACATATCTGACTGACCAAACAAGCGAGAATAACCAGACTATCTCACATATTGAAAAAAGTAACGTTCTATTTAATAATTGTGGTTGCTTATTCTCGCTAAAAGTCTATGAAGAAAGTGACGTATATCTTGCTGACCAAACAAACAAGAATAAGCAGACTATAATGATGACATATAGATAGAATATCACCTCAACAAAATATCTCATATATATAAAAAAATCAATGTTCTATTCGATAATTGTGGCTAGTTATTCTTGCTAAAGAGGGTGAAATACACTGGAAAGTTCAACAAGCAAGAATAAACAGACCTTGATGATCAGGGATCATTAAATTATAGAATATCACCTCAACAAAATATCTCACATACAGAAAAAAAGAAATGTTCTATTTGATAATTGCAGTTCTTCTTCTGGGAAGACAGTGACATATACTTGGCTGACCAAACAATTGAGGATGCAGACTATGATGATTGGAGATGATTAAATTGTAGATTATCACCTCAACAAAATATCTCATATACAGTAATGTTGCATTCGATAATTGTGGTTAGTCTTGCTAAAGAGGATGAAATACATTTGATGGTACAAACAAGCGAAAATAAACAGACCGTGATCAGAAATGATCCAACTACAGATTCATCACATCAACAAAATATCTTACATACACAAAAATAGTAAGTTATATGTTGTCTGCTTATTTCCGCTTAAAGCCTCGGAAGGCAGTGAAGTACATCGGAGTGACAAACAAGTGAGAATAACTAGAGTGTGATGATCAGAGATGATCAAACTACAGATTCATCACCTCAACAAAATTAAAATACACCTGACTGACCAGATAAGTGAGAATGCAGATGTTTGGAGATGTATTATAGATTATTGGCGCAACAAATATCTCACATACAGAAAAATAGTAATCATGTATTCGACAATTGTGGCTGCTTATTTTTGATAAAGAAGGTAAAATACACCTGTAAGTCCAAATAAGCAAGAATAAGCAGACCATGATGAACGGAGAAGATCAAACTATAGATTCATCACCTCAACAAAATATCACACATATATTGGGTTGTCCGGAAAATAATGCAGGATTTTGGTATTAAACAAAAAAAAAGAAACTAGTTACTTTAAAGCAATGTTCTTTAATCAAAATAATTTCCCATACTCTCAATACATTTCTCCCAACGTGTTGGTAACTTATTAATTCCGTCTGAGTAGAATTCAGAATTTTTAGAATTGATAAAGTCAATAAATGCATTTTCCAGTTCCGTTTGATTTTTGAATATTATGTGTTCTAAGTAGTGGTCCAGGTGTCTAAAAAAATGGTAGTCAGTAGGCGAGAGGTCCGGAGAGTAGGGTGGGTGAGGCAAAGTTTCATAGCCAAGCTCCAATAATTTTTGTGACGTTACACGTGACACATGTGGTCGAGCGTTGTCATGCAACAAAATGGGCCCTTTCCGATTGACCAAAGAGGGCTTCATTACTGCCAATTTCTGATGCATGGTATTAATTTGGTTACAGTATGATTCAGCATTGATGGTTTCGCCAGGATTTAAGAAGCTGTAGTGTATTAAACCAAATGAAGCCCACCATACCGTAACCATTACCTTTTTTTGATGAGTTGGGGGCTTTGGAAAATGTATTGGAGCTTCTCCTTTGTCGAGCCACTGTCCAGAACGTCTAGTGTTATCGTAGAGAATCCACTTTTCGTCACATGTAACAATTCTGGCCAGAAATGGGTCATTTTTGTTTCGACAAAGAAGTGATGCACAAACATCAAAGCGCTGATTTTTTTGGCGATCGTTTAATGAGTGTGGAACCCAATTTTCGAGTTTTTTCACTTTTCCAATCGCCTTGAGGTGGTCAGCGACGGTCGTTTTACTGACTTTGAGTTGCTCTGCACCCACCACTGATCGCAGAACATCATCATTAAGAGAGGAAGGCCTTCCACGACCTTCTTCATCTTCAAGGCTGAAATCTCCCTCCCGAAATTTTTTAAACCACCTTTGCACAGTGCACTCATTAACACAACCCTCGCCCCAGACTTGGTTAATGTTTCTAGCCGTTTGGGCTCCGCTTCGGCCGAGTTTAAACTCGTAAAAGAAAATCGTACGAAATTCTCGCTTTGACATTATAAGGATGACTGAATTATTTCCAAGTAGCGGAATGCTACAGAGGTAAACAAACAATATCATTTGGAAGAGGATTAATAAGTGTTGACATTCATACAAATGAGTAATCCTGTAAACGTAAACAGAATATTTTATATAGATTTTTTTTAATGAAAACTTAAAATCCTGCATTATTTTCCGGACAACCCAATAGAAATACGTAATGTTCTATTTGATAATTGTGGTTCATAATTATCGCTAAAAGTCTGGAAAGACAGTGAAGTAAATCTGGCTGACCAAACAACCAAGAATAACCAGGCTACGATGATCAGAGATGATCAAACTCTAGATTATCACCTCAACAAAATATCTCACACAGAGAAAAATATTAATGTTGTATTTGATAATTGTAGCCGGTTATTCTTGCCAAAGGAGGTGAAATACACTTGGCTGTCCAAACAAGCGAGAATAAACAAACCATGATGATCAGGGACGATTAAATTATAAAATATCACCTCAACAAAGTATCTCGCTTATAAAAAGTTTTGTTTTATTAGTTTACTAGTCAAAGTAAAAAAATTATTGCTTCTCTTCGCTGATAATCAGTACATCCTGTTAATCAAGAGCAAAATATTTCCTTGGTGATTTACACTATACCAATGGTTTAAGTAAAAATAAAAATTGTTCTGTAAATTTTAAAATTATATAAGTCTATATAATTATGAACAAAGATGAAAGAGATAAACGAAGATTCTTTGTTAATTATATTACTTTATTAGCTAAGTTATCAAAATGAAAGTCTTCTTTTAAAACAAAAATTATTTTTTATTTATTCTTCTTTTTGTTGAAGGCTAAAATAAACCGAATAAACGAAGATGTATAAAAAGCAGAGGTTGAGTGTTAGGGATGGGATTTGCTTATAAATCGTACTAGGGTGTGAAACGAGGTGCAGTAAAATCGCCACTTTCCAACGTACCAAGTCAATTAACATCTTGACAGGGAGCGAGAGCAAAGTCAACAAATCTCGACGAGTCCGGAACTTGGGATAATCTGGAAGTATTGAAAAATAATACCTTATCCGTTTGGAATTGGCACCGGTCGCCCTCCGGGTATTTGATCGTCCAGCGGTCGGTCTCGCCTCGGCGGAAACCCGTTTTCCGATCTGTTTATTGTTTCTTTTCAAACGGAATTTGTAGTAACGCAGTTGTGGAAAAGCACATTGATCTTCCTTATGGGCTAATTATAGATAAGGTGAAACAACATTCCGTGACAACTCCGTGTTTCACAAGTCAACTATTGAGTCTCGAGAATCAATCGACTTACCTTGGACTGTGTTTGTACCGCGCTAAGGAGACCTCTAAAATATATCCGCAGCGAAGTAATCCTGTCTCATATAATAAGGAAATCAATGCCCATATGATAATATACAAGGAATATAATGTATTGTAAAAGAATGGTGAGGCTGTCCTATTGGTGGGGGGAATGGAATAGAATAGAATAGCATAGAATGAATCCAAAGGGCACTGCCTTGCTTTAACAAGGCCAACATTGTGACATCATATTAGGAGAATAACAACGAATAACTGATTTCATTAAATATCCATCCTCAATCTAAAATGTAACAATCATTGCCTTAGCAACAATTTCTTTTAAAACTAACAAATTTCAATAGTATTTTAAAATTGTATTTCCCCATTTTAAATTTTTTTCTTAAATATCCATCCTCATTTTAAAATGTAACAATCATTTCCTTATCAACCATTTCTTTTAACACTAACAAATTTCAATATTATTTTAAATTGTGCAATGCCATTTCTTTTGAAAGTTCTCCTTAAATATCTATCCTCATTCTAAATTGTAACAAACATTTCCTTATCACCATTTTCTTTTAAAACTAACAAATTTCAATATTAGTTTAAGATGTGTAATTCCACTTCTTTTGAAAGTCCTCCTTAACTATACTCATTCTAAAATGTAACAATCATTGCCTTATCAACAATTTCTTTTACAACTAACAAATTTCAATAGTATTTTAAAATGTGTATTTCCCTATTTTAAAATTTTTTTTAAAATATCCATCCTCATTCTAAAATGTAACAATCATTTCATTATCGCCCTTTTCTTTTAAAACTAACAAATTTCAATATTAGATTAAGATGTGTAATTCCACTTCTTTTGAAAGATAAAATGCCATTTCTTTTGAAAGTTCTCCTTATATATCTATCCTCATTCTAAATTGTAACAATCATTTCCTTATCACCCTTTTCTTTTAAAACTAACAAATTTCAATATTAGATTAAGATGTGTAATTCCACTTCTTTTGAAAGTCCTTAACTAACCTCATTCTAAAATGTAACAATCATTGCCTTAGCAACAATTTCTTTTAAAACTAACAAATTTCAATATTATTTTAAGGTGTATATTTCCATTTCCTTTGAATGTTGTCTTTAAATATCTATCCTCATTCTAAAGGCTAAAAATAATTTATCATCTGTTTATAATTTTGTAAAAATTAAGTAAAACCAAATTAAATGAGCAATTCAAGTTGTAATGGAAATTATATAATTATGATGGTTTGAAAGAAAATTATCTGAAAAAATTGCCACTGTCCAGTGTGTGTGTATAAATGGTCTGAAGTGGATTCGTGAGTTACCATGGAGTGTTGCTCTCCGAAAGTGAACTTGGGCGAATTTCATTCTCCAATGCAAAGGGATCTGAGAGTAACTCTCAAGAGCTCTGGGTGCGAGTTTCTAACATGTTAAACTAACCTTAAAAAAAAGAGGACAGTACGACTCCATTTTAAATACCCAGATGGCCATGTTGAGCCCCCCCCCAAAAAAAAAAATATATCACAAAGGGAAACAATCACCATAACATAAAAGACTAATGAATATAGGGAACAATAAATTTAAAAAAAAATTTAGATAAACAATGATAACTCTGCTCCCTAAACAACAGTTTCAACCTATCAGAAAAATATCAGATAAGCCCATTAAACCCACCTTATTGGGCCCTCTACGAAGCTGAAAATAACAAAGAACCCTTCGTTCTAATAAAGTAACAAACATCACAGCCAGCAAAATGCACAGAACAAAAAACAATTCTATCTGTAATTTTAATCACATAAATAAATGCTAAATTTATTGCACTAATCTGACAAAATAGCAATAATAGTCAAGTAAAAAAATTACTCCAATTATTCGATCCTCTTGTAGTAGAATAATTCATATTAATTAAGGATAGAAACCGATCTGGCTCACACCAGTTTGAACTTAGTTCATGTAAAAAATTAAAGGTCGAACAGACCTAATTATTAAGCGGCTACACCTAATATTAATTTTAATCCAACATCAAGGTCGCAAACCCCATCATCAATAAGGACCAAGTAACGACAAAGATGGATAGATCTATGATAGTACAAGGAAAAAAAATGAGTGGCATTCCTCCCTACTTGCTATTTATATCGAGCCAAGATATATAATCGTACAATTAAGTGAAACTCATTATTTGGCAACATTTGTTTACATGCCGAACAGATATCTGTGCTTGGCCCAAAAGTGTCAATGTCATGACAATCTTTCATGACATATTCTTAATTGGGTATAGATGATTCCTCTTGTACTTTTTACCCATAAATAAGTAAATGTAAATGTCATGTACTGTGTGACATTTGTTTTATGATGAATAAATTAAATAAAAACATTAAAATAAATAATTCAAATAAATGGACATAGAAACGGCAACCATGTTTTCTAGGTCTGCTAAGAGATGGCGCAGCATGTTGGGAAGGACACGAGAGAAAAGATGGCGGATGGCCGTCTGTTCTGAGCAGTCTCTGTTCCCGTCTCTTAGTATTTATTCGGCCGGAAACGGTGACGTTTTGCAGTGTTTGCACCGGGCTGAGAGCGAGCTCTCATCGGCCGAGGATGAACCGTTGACGACGCGGCCGCTTCTCAGTTTTACCTCAGCAATGTTCGACGGCATTTTCAAGGCGTCAACTCTCGTCCAACTCTGCCTCGTCCTTTTTTCCAACGTGCAAACCCAGCTCCTCATCAACGTCAAAAACCAGGTACGAACAACTAACAAATAACCTTTACAGTTTACACGACTTCAGGTTATACTTCCTCACCTGTTTACAAACTTGGAAACAGGTGATATCAATTGTTTTTTTATTTTTCCTCTTGGGGTGCAATTTCAATAAAAATACAAACACTTTATTAATTTAACAGTATTCCCTTTAATATACATATTTTCTAAAAACTTAAGTTATTAGAACGTCTGGTTTTTATGTTAATTTTATATTAATTACTTCAAGAAAAAATTGTCCTTAGTTACAAAACCTGAGTCAGTGATGACAGTTGGTACAAAATACTTAAAAACTGATAAAAAGTACTTAAGCGCTTTATAGCGACAGTACGATTATTACCACGTTTCCCCTGTATCTTCATATTTGATATACACATTAATATTAATGTAAAATGCACAAATGCACTTAAAAATATTTATAAATACAATATTTTAAAACAAAATTTACTGTTATTATTCGACCATTTTAAAAGAAAAATGCTTGTCAAAATTGAACGACGAAAAAGAATGATTCTTGTAACTTATACAAAACAAACACTTAACATATATAGATAACGTAAACTTTATTATTACTTCAACTGCTATTTGTTTTAATTTTATATTAATTACTTCCTGAAAACGGTGTTCTTGTTACACAAACCTCAATCTGAGATGACACTTGGTACAAAGTACTTAAAACTGGCAAAAAGTACTTAAGTGCTTTTTAGCGACAATACGATTATTACGTTTTCCCATTCACGTTTGTTATATTTGATGTACAAATTAATATTGGATGTGAATGTAGTTAAAAAATATTCATAAAATAAATATTTTAAGACAAAATTTACTATTTTTATTTGACGATTTTAAGAGAATTTAAAAAAGATTTAATACTCGTAAAAACCAACGAGGAAAAAGAATGATCTTATACAAAACAAAAGTATTGTACCATTATATATAAAATATAGATTTATGCCTTCAGTTTAATATATATATTAAAAAGTTACATTATTAGGTCTCTGGTATTTATTTTAATTTTATATTAATTACTTCATGAAAAAATTGCCCTTAGTTACACAAACCTGAATCAGTGATGACAGTGGTTACGAAGTACTTAAAACTTGTAAAAAGTACTTAACCACTTCATAGCGACTGTACGATTATTACGTTTTCCCTGTATCTTCATATTTGATATACACATAATATTAATGCTTACATGTAGTTAAAAAATACCCATAAATATTTATAAATACAATATTTTAAGACAAAATTTACTATTTTTATTTGACGATTTTAAGAGAATTTAAAAAATGAATTAATACTCGTTAAAACTAAACGATGAAAAATAATAATCTTATACAAAACAAAAACTTAACATGCGTAAATATCGCAAACTTTATTATTGTACAATTATATATAAAATATAGATTTATGAAACAGCCTTCGCTCTAGTATATACATTTTCTAAAAACTTACATTATTAGAACATCTGGTATTTATATTAATTACTAAACGAAAAAAATTGTCCTTAGTTAAACAAGCATGAATCAGTGATGCCAGTTGGTAAAATGTACTTAAGCACTTTATTGCGACATGTCGTTCCCGAGTACTCGTCGTCACAAGACTAGAGGATCTTTAGCGTCCGCACCTGGCCTATTCGGCTTTATCGGACGTTTTGATCCTCAAGATGAGAGCTGACGCACCTCCGCATACGACGGAATGGTGTTACTGCCGCAGCATTGTGTAGAGGCGTCCCAGCTCCTAAGGGCCAAGTACAACCTCGCTCTCCGCTTGTTCACTCCGAATGGTCGGGCCCGCATTGTGCATCGGGTCGTATGCCGCGCGCAAAGGTCTAACAAGCCGAAATACATCAGCCTGTTCTCCCGCGCACGCCCTATATAGAGAAGGCCACTCTATATCCCAGAGTATTGGGGCTTCCCCAGCGTAGAAACTACCGTATCCGCCCCGGCCGCGGTTTTGTTTAAAGTGGAATTGCTAACTACACCCTAGATGAGCACCGCCTACGGTAAAATCTCTTATCGAGCTCAGCCTACACCTGCTATGCGCATTTGACGCCATAGGCTCAGCCTAGGTGGTCCGATCCTTCGCTTCCCCAAGGGACCACGCTGTCATACGCACAACAATGCAAAGCATACGCGAGTCAGAGCAACCGATTCACTACCCATTTCCGTCCGTTTACTCACGCATTCGAGGGACTATTCAGCATAATCATCGCGTCCTCAACCGGTCCACCGTCTCCGTCCACCGGGGGTAATAACGCTGGCCATACGCAAGCTTCACGATGGTCACAAGTAGAAGACAGCCCCTGTCTAAGTTCCCGCCAGGGCGTCACCACGCACTACCACGAAACCATTTCAAGTGTAACTTTGGGCTGATTTTGAAACATTTAAGTTACCCCGTGGTACAGATGGCCATACATCCTACCCCGTCTATGCAGACAGGATCTGGTGACTCTGCTAGGGCACCCGCCGCCCATGCCGACCCTACGCCGACACGAGTACAGCTTGTGCTTTAGAGAGGTTGCCTCGCTCTGGGCTATACCTCTATTTTGTGCCCGGATACCCTCCTTGCAGCCAAGGGTTGGGAGGGGTCACAGGATAGAATGAAGAACCCGGATTGAGAAAAGGGCCGTGGATGAGAACTCGAGGTGGGCCGTTTCGGGTCTCGAGCCTCAAACCACACTATACCACCCGTCGTCGCCGTAACTTTATAGCGACAGTACGATTATAACCGAAGACGGCACATGTACATTCAGCAAAGAAGCAGAGGAGACACCAACCCACCTATTAACAAACTGGTGCCCGCAGGAGGAAATGTTTTGGGACGTACATTGTGACCGTAGAAGAAATTCAACCGTAGATGAAACAGGACTCAGGTGTGCTACAGGCACAGAACGGGGATACAATAGCTCATAAAAGGCGCAGTATATTACACCCCGACTAATACATCTTCCCAAAATAAGAATGTTTATCGCTTCGATTTAAATGTATAACTATTCAGAAATCGTGAGATGCGGTCTGATGTGATGTAGGTTTAAGAAAAACATTTTCTTTATCGTGCCAACGTTTCGATCTTTATTGAGATCATTTTCATGGCCTGGGATTTTATGTTTATATACGTAAAACAGCAATATCTCACTGGCACTCTCCACACGACACGCAAGAATGGCACACTTACGCACAAAACAAACACTTTGAGTGAGTAGAAATACTTTGATTGAATATAAAAAAATATATTTTTTTGCATTGTATAAATTCACTTTTTTCCACATCCTACACGTATTTGTTAAATTTAAACAATGTTTGTAAATCCCAGGCCCTGAAGATGATCTCAATAAAGATCGAAACGTTGGCACGATAAAGAAAATGTTTTTCTGAAACCTACATCACACCAGACCGCATCTCATAATTTCTGAATAATTATGAACGAAGGGTCACTAATCACCACACATAAATGTATAACGATGGTGTTAGTTAGTAGCTTTTACGTAAAATAAACGTTTCGTTCCTGTTGAAAAAGTATCCTTTAAACAGGTTAAGTGTAAAACAGTTGTTCAAATAATAGTGGAAACTTGTTTGAAAACTGCCAAGTGATGAGACTACCTTATATTTTTTTCTCAAAAGGAAATGTTCTCCAAATGGAATGGTTATTATTTAATTTCCGGGTTGAATAGCGGAATGTTTCCAGTCGAGATTAACTCTATAACTATAAAAGAAGAACTTATTACTTTATGTATTTTTTATCCGTCTCTTGGTTCCCAGGAGCAAAGTGGACGTGGGTTTCGAATGGATGGAGTGGCGGTCTATTGAGAAAAGGCGTGTGTCGCCTCTGTTCCATTAAAGGACGGCCGTACCGCTCACAATTGATCTCGCTTAAAAGGCTCGTCGCCTTTCTCGTCCCTGACCCGTACATATAACCACTACCATAAAGATACCCACGATGTTTTCTAAATGTTTTTTACACATGTGAGTGGAAAAACAATTCAGAACGATCAATACTCTGAGTACTGTTATTTTAACCTTTCTTTTTATCGTATAGAATACGAATCATAACAAAAAGCCTACACGTCAAACTATAATGAGTATAAAAGCTGAGAAAAGAGAAATATAAATTAGGCTTTCTTTGATGTAGGACATTAACTGGGGCTTATTTTTATATCACTTTATCCGGGGAGTTGACTTTTCATTTGCTTTATAATATGTGCTTGAGATAACACAAAGTCAACGTTATATGTTTATAAAAATGTCTCAAAATGTTGCTTCTTTTAACGCCAGCCCGATTGATCTTTTTCGCTTCTATTAGGGTCAACCGAATTATGCTTTTAGCCTTGCCCGGTTCATTGGTTGTAGTCATCTAAACTCCCGGTCCAAAATACTGCGACACATATAAAAAAAATCATCCACTTTAATCAGTACAATTTAAGCTGTAACTGACGTTTTTATCAACAAGGAAAATTTTGAAATTAAATAAATAGTGCATTTACGTAAAACTGACGTAAAATATAAGTTCACTTCTAAATCCAAAACGTAGAAAAAAGAAAATTCTTTTTACACAGATTATTAAAACCACTTGCGACGGTTGTTTATAAGCTTGGCGTATACTTGACATACTCTCAAAATGGGTTTAGTTAAGGGATTTAATTTCGTTCTTCTAATTATTAACGTTTGACGCTTGAAACTGTTGAGCCTTTTTTGGAGTACTTAAAGACGCAGGAAACTCCATTCTCTTGTCTGCTTTTTAAAAATTTAGACCAGGTTCAGCCAGTCGTTGTATATAAAATATAAATAGCCCGGGTCGTCTATTTCTTGGTGAAATTTATTAAAGCAATTGTAAGAGCAGGAAAGCTAATGAAATTTTGATTTCGATAGGATTGCCGAATGCTAAATAACAGACAGTATTTTTGTATTAATACGACTTTAAGACCATATTTGTACTTTCTTTATGGCGATCCATTTAAAATAATTGTGAAATCATTATGGGCAA